CTCCTCTTTCATTTTCAACAAGAGGCTCTTTAGTTCTTTGCTTTCTGCCATAAGGGTGGTGTCATCTGCATATCTGAGGTTAGTGATATTTCTCCCAGCAATCTTGGCTTCAGTTTATGCTTCATCCAGCCCGGCATTTCTCATGATGTACACTGCATATAAGTTAAATAAGCAGGGTGACAACATACAGCCTTGACGTCCTCCTTTCCCAATTTTAAACCAGTCTGTTGTCCCATGTCCAGTTCTAACTGTTGCTTCTTGACCTACATACAGATTTCTCAAGAGGCGGGTCAGGTGGTCTGGTATTTCCATCTCTTTAAGAATTTTCCATAGTTTGTTGTGATCTACACAGTCAAAGGCTTTGGCATAGTCAATAAAGCAGAAGTAGATATTTTTCTGGTTTTCTCTTGCTTTTTTGATGATCCAACGGATGTTGGCAATGTGATCTCTGGTTCCTCTGCCTTTTCTAAATCCAGCTTGAACATCTAGAAATTCTTGGTTTGCGTGCTGTTGAAGCCTGGCTTGGAGAATTTTGAGCATTACTTTGCTATCATATGAGGTGAGTGCAGTTGTGTAGTAGTTTGAACACACGTCCCTTAATAACTCAGATCAGTACTACCACTCCTGTTAAACAAGCAAAAATATACTGCATTCTTTTAAATTTGTTATGTATTTAGGATCTTGTTTGTTATGGCAAAAGTTAACATGACTAACACAGGCACATTGTTTTTGGTTTACACTTAGCTTTATGCATGGGCAGGTCAAACTCTTCTTGATGGAGAGGTGGAGATATCTCTTTTGTGCAGAAATGAATCCATAAAACTGGTAAGGGAAGAGTTAGAAAATAAACTACTGTACTGCTTTGTAAGTCACTAGCATCCTAAAAAATATGATTAATCTTTTTCACCTGAAGGTTGTAAAATGTATTGCTTTCCCATAAGAACTCTTTTGAATAAATAAAAGATCATCAATTCAGTTCAGTTCAGTCATTCAGTCGTGTCCGACTCTTTGCAACCCCATGAACTGCAGCAAGCCAGGCCTCCCTGTCCATCACCAACTTCCGGAATCCACCCAAGCTCATGTCCATTGAGTCAGTGATGCCATCCAACCATCTCATCCTCTGTTGTCCCCTTTTCCTGCTCTCAATCTTTCCCAGCATCAGGGTCTTTTCAAATGAGTCAGCTCTTCGCATCAGGTGGCCAAAGTATTAGAGTTTCAGCTTTAGTATCAGTCCTTCCAATGAACACCCAGGACTGATCTCCTTTAGGATGGACTGGTTGGATCTCCTTGAAGTCCAGGGGACTCTCAAGTCTTCTCCAACACCACAGTACAAAAGCATCAATTCTTCTGCACTCAGCTTTCTTTATAGTACAACTCTCACATCCATTCATGACTACTGGAAAAACCATAGCCTTGACTAGACAGACCTTTGTTGGCAAAGTAGTGTCTCTGCTTTATAATATACTGTCTAGGTTGGTTATAACTTTCCTTCCAAGGAGTAAGCGTCTTTTAATTTCATGGCTGCAATCACCATCTGCAGTGATTTTGGAGCCCCCAGAAATAAAGTCTGTCACTCTTTCCACTGTTTTCCCCGTCTATTTGCCATGAAACGATGGGACCAGATGTCATGATGTTAGTTTTCACTTCTGGATTATTTTTATCATCTTATTTATTGTTTTTTACCTTTCTTCTTCCAACTGGATGCAGGTCTCATGAAGACAAGACATATAACTTATTTTTACTGCTGCCTAATTTCTTAGAAAAGTTCCTAGAATAATAGGCCTACAGTGTGTATGGGCTAAAGCTGTCAATCAATGTAATAAATAAAAGATGAAAAAAGACAAATTAGCTTGCTGTGTCTTACACCCTAGAACTTGACCGGGAGTTTTCAGTTGGCAGAGAAAGGATTTCGTCTGACCCAGACATATGATTAAACATAAAGCAAACACATATGAGACTGTCAATTTCTGCATTTCAATTCACATTATAAGATATATCTATCAAATGCATCTAAAGACTAAAGACAGCTGACAAGTTCGCTAACTGCAGGTTTTCCATCATTTCCCATCTTTGTCTCTTGCTAGAGTCATTTGAACTCTGAGGCAAGTGCCTAGTTTTGACCTTGCATATATTCACCACCTGATGGCAGACAGCCATCCATTTGCTCTCTCCTCACTATCCCCAGCAGATGGCTCAGAGATAAATAGCCAATAAATCACAATTTCCATGCATGAGAGGGTCTAACTACAAAGTGCTTATTTGCTCTTAAAATTTGTTCTGTTGCTGCCAACTAAATAAAGTCATTTAGTCAAAACTTTTGAGTGATGAACTATATACACACCATCTTCTTTCCTCTTGGAGTTGTAACTCTCGATTGTTCATTTATTTATGTACTAGTCAGGATTTTCCAGAGAAACAAAGCCAATAGATGTGTATATATACTGAAAGTTATTTATTTAAACAATTGGCTCATATGATTGTGAAGGCTTAGCCAGTCCAGAATCTGATGGAAGAGAGAGACAAGCTAGAGTTTCAAGGACTCAGGAAGGAATTGCAGTTCACGTTCAAAGGCTATCTGCTGTATAACCAAGAAAAACCAGTGTTGCCTATCAGGTCCCAAGACTGGAAAATTCTCTTTTGCCCTGGAGAGATTAGCCTTTTGTTCTATTCAGGTCTACAGATAATTAGGTAAGGCCTACTCATATGCTTCCCTGGTGGCTCAGAGGTTAAAGCGTCTGCCTGCAATGCAGGAGACCTGGGTTTGATGCCTGGGTCAGGAAGATCCCCTGGAGAAGGAAACGGCAACCCACTCCAGTATTCTTGCCTGGAGAATCCCATGGACAGAGGAGCCTGGTGGGTTACAGTCCATGGGGTCGCAAAGAGTTGGACACCACTGAGTATTTACTTCACTTCACTCATATGCTGGAGGGTAATTTCTTTTACTCAAAATCCACCAATTTAAATGTAAATCTCATTCAAAAACACCCTTATAGAAAGATCCAGAATAATGTTTGACCAAATAACTGGGCATCATGGCCCAGACAAATTGACATATAAAAGTAAACATCATAATTTGCTTGCTTGGGTTTGTTTTTTTTTCCCTAATTTGTTTCTGGCTGTCTTTGCTTTAGGTCCTCAGGGTCATTATTTCCACGAGGCTTATTTAATACAAAACCTTGTGACAATCTGGAAAGTTTCAAGCTCACATTCCAGCTTTTCCACTGGATCTCTAAGTAACAAGGCACTTGACCACAGAACCTACTTCCTTTTCAGTGAATGGAGATGTCTATGCCATTATAATAACCGAATGGGAAAAATACACATTAACAAGCCTGTAAACACAAGCTTCACATTGGCAACTACTATTTGAAGTTGTGTTAATGTATCAAAGGTACAACCTTTCAGACCAACAAAGAAGAAAATAGAAAATTCCTCATGTGAAACACATGACAGTCGTGAGTAACTGAGTTATTGGAAGAAGGAAACATCAAATTAATACATCAAGTTTATTCATGAGAGAACAATGGTTTTAAGAGTTAAGAGTTTTTAAAGACCACAAATGATTTTTGAAGATCCCAGAAACAGCCTCAAATTTAAAGTACACAGAATATCCATGTCTAACGTCAGGGGAATCAGCATACCTCTGATTCTCCCCCAGTGAATCTTGGAGATGCCGGTAGCCTGGGCGGCTCTGTGAGAACTGAAGTGAGGGAACTTACGGAAAATGGGCCTGTTCCCGAAAAGCTACTCAGAAGGACCCGATAGGACTTATCACTTCCCCACCTTCGGTGTATAGTTAGCATCCCACGTGTGGTTTGATGTCAAATTACTTTGTGATTGTCCCTCTTCACTGTTCCAGGGATCTCTCCCATTCAGATTCCTGACCAGATTGTTTTTGAAACTCCAAAGAGAGAAAGCATTTTTTTGCCCTTACATCAGCGTCAAGTCCCCTTGATTAGTCCTCACCTCAGCATAAAGGCAGACCTTATATGGATCATTGGGCTGCCCTGGTGACGCAGACAGTAAAGAAGCTGCCTGCGATACAGGAGACTGGATTCTATCCCTGGGTTGGGAAGATCCCCTGGAGAAGGGGATGGCTACCCACTCCAGTGTTCTCACCTGGAAAATTCCATGGACAGAGGAGCCTGGTGTGGGCCACAGTCCATGGGGTCACAAAGAGATGGACATGACTAGGCAACTAACACTTTCACTTTCACTTTGGATCACATTCTAGATTTCAGCTCCTTTTACAGAAAATTTCAATTTCAGAGGAGTACCTTTGCTCTCTGGCCCCATCAAGTCAATAATCCAACATTAGTGGTGTTCCTGCTATCAGTATCCATCAGTCTTAAGTAACTCCAACCACGGGACAAAGGTGGAAATTCATTACATTCAGGCCTCCTCCTTTTACAGCCTCTTCTTCAGAACTTAAAAAATCTTGGGGTCTTTCCTTGCTCAGGTGACTTATTTCTACCCTTGATATCATGCAGTCCGGAGCAATCTGTTAACAGAAGTTAGTAGTTATTCCTGCTGGAGGCTTGTGAGGCCACCTTAGACCCAAGAGAGCACACCATTTCCACACTAAACTAAAGATGATGTGTGTCCAGCACATCTGCAGAGGACACGACATGAAGGTCCAGTCAAGACCATATCAGAAACCTCTTGCAGTGTTCTCTCTGAATGAAAAACAAATGTCCTCCTACCCATTGATAACATATATACATGTTCTTAAAAAACAACGTGTGTTTTTTAATGTGTCAGACAAGCTGTGATGCTGATACTATGCAAGGATTTTTACATCAGCAACTTTTTTTCATCCTATGAGAACTGGAACAAAGAGAAGTTTATAGTGCACTTTTATTCTTTTTGTGATAATGGATGGATGGATGGATAACTTTCTTGGTTCAGCTCTGCACAGTAGACAGTTCGACTTCAAAATGTGCAGAAAAATCCGTTTTATGAACACTTTGCTCATATCGCTTCTCTCCCACTTCCTCTAGGAATGTCCCAGCGGGGTTGTTAATGAGGACACCTTCAAGGAGATTTACTCGCAGTTCTTTCCACAGGGAGGTAGGTACAAATGTGAACCAGTGAACGTAATTTCAGCTAGAATTATGCTTGCAGTCTTGAGTTTGGTTTAATCTTTCATGGCATGACTCTACAGTTTTCATCTTTACATCCAAAAATTAATACACAGCATGCTGCACATGTGATTCTTAATACATCATAAAAGTGAGTTACTTACAAATTATCAAATATCTGAGAGTTCACTCTTCAGCTGAATACAAGTAGTATTATTGAGTGCCTGTTGCCACATCCTTCAAATGCATGGCACTTTCTGACTATGATGGATGGGTCCTGAAAGCCTCAAAGCTTTTCACATGCGTTACAACATCTCATTCTCCCAACTTTCAAAATTAGAAAGTGTAATTATCCTCAATTTTTTGGATCTGAAATCTGGGGCTTAGAGAAGCTAAATGTTTTGCTCAGGGTCATACATCCACTAAAATGGCAGATCTAGGTTAGAATCCCCTGTGGCTCAAATGATAATCAGCCTGCAGTGCAGGAGACTCGGGTTTGACCCCTGAGTCAGGAAGATCCTCTAGAGAAAGGAATGGCTACCCATTCCCGTATTCTTGCCTGGAGAATCCCGTGGACAGATGAGCCTGGCGGGCTATCGTCCATAGCGTTGCAAAGCATCAGACATGACTGAGCAACTAACTACTACCAGGTTAGAACCCAAATGTTTCGGGAGTCTTATCTAGGCTCTCTGCTGCTCCTTTCTGCTCTGCCTCTCTGTTTCAGGAACTCTTCACTATCACCCCTCCCCCCGCATCTAAGAAAATCAATACCACTCTAGACATTATTTTAACTGGGAAGAAAACAAAGAGAGCATAATGACAATGTGCACCTGTTAGAGAGAGCTACATTTGCCAGTGGAACTTGCAGCCTCCCCTTTGCTCACTCGGCAGGATGCCCCGCTCCAACTTGTCCTGCCACCTTGCATGTTTCCAGCCGTGTGCTGGGTGCTGATGACATCAGGGAAAAGAGCTGGTCCCAAAGAATGGTAGAGCCTAGTGTTGCATGTGGGCAGTGCCAGCATGAAAAGTAAATGTGAAGACGGGAGTTAACAGCATAATATTATGAGAACACAATGTAGGCACAATTAGACCAGCTGAATGACAGGGAGGACATAAAAAAGAATCGGTCCAGATAAACCGAACCTGAGCTGAAGGAGCCGCCATTCATCAGGCATCTAATACCTGTCTGGCCCTGGCATGTGTTACCCATCACCTCCCAACAACCTTAGTTCCGATTCTCCCTGTTCATACACGTGGAAACCAAGGGGCACAGAAATCCATCCATTTCCCAGCCATCATCTTTTTACTTCTTTCCCACTTAAAAGATCCACTGTCATCTGATGCCCAAATAACTGCAGTGTTCTCCGAGGTAGTCTCTCTGATCCCACCCCTCTTTTCTTACTCCTCCACCACGGTTTATTCTCACATGTGCCAGAGTTGTCCTGCTAAAATGTAGGTTGCGTCACTGCTCTGCCCAGAATCTTCCACCCACTCAGAGCAAAAGCCACAGTCACTGTCTCCTGTTCTCTCTCTGCCTCGTCCTTCACCAACCCTCCCTTTTGCTCACCTCATTCCAGCCTTCCTGGCCTCTTGCCCTTCCTCCAGCACACCAGTGCTTTTGTTGTTTCTGAGCATTTTTTTCATTATTATTAAAAAAATTTTTTGACTGCACTGCACCAGCATATGCGATCTTATTCCCCACCCCCTCCAGAGATCAAACCCGTACCCCCAGCAGTGGAAGGGCAGAGCCCTTACCACTGGACCACCAGCGAAGTCCTGCCTCTGGGCCTTTGAATTCATTTTTCTCTCTGTCTGGAATCCCTCTTCTCCTAAACATCCATCTCAATATCTCATCACCTCTGCTTTCATTCAAATGCCACCTTCTCGGTGAGGCTTCCTCTGGCCACCCTGGCTTCAACCTCAACCCCTTAGACATCCCCCACGCTGTTTTCCTGCTTTAGCTTTCTCTTTAGCTCTCAAGAGCATCTAATAATGTATAATTTATTTATTTTTGTTGTTTACTGTCTCTTTTTCCACTAGAATGTCATCTCCAAGGGAACGGAATTTTTTTTCTGTTTTGCTCACTGCTATATCCACAGGTCATAGAATACGGAGGGACAAATAGTCATACTAATATTGCAAAAAAGAGTGAATGTGTGGATAAGTGAATGGCATCTACCTCATCATGGGGTGATACCTGCAAAGGCATTTTTAATGGATACAACACTTGAATATTAATTATTTCATACAAAAACTCGATTCACTTTTGGCTTTATGTATTTCGGTAGGTTAAAGACAATTTTGTGCATGGGTTATCAAAATAAAAATTCTCCCTTAAGATGGACTTTTAAAAGAATTAAATAAAAATTCTGAGAAAACAAGGAGTGACCCATTATTACATGAATTTGCATACGTCATGGGTGACAACTCCCCCCAGCCCATCTTGTTACCAACCACCCACAGACAGATATTGAGTCTGATGCCAGGCTTGTAATGGGTCTATTGCCTGCATTAATAATGAATTTAGAATATCATTTGTTTAATACATATTTCTAAATTATTAAAAACCATGGAATTTTTTAAAAGAATAATGTTTACTATAAACTGTCTGCCCATGTATTTATAGGCATTAATATCAAAGCCCTTAGCACAAATGGAAATCTTTTAGCTATTTTTTGATTATCTCAAATGAAAGTTATTACATACTAAAAATTGGATACAACTTCACATTAAAAATGTATCTGTATCTGAAAAATAACATTTCAACATTAGAGAACATCTACTTAAGCATAATCATTTGCAAGGGAATCTTGTTACAAAGTCCAAAGGGATTTGCGGAAAAATCACTTTTGCACTCTTAAAAATCCTTTGAATATTCATGTTAATTGAATGCATAAATCTAAAAGCATCCAGCATTACTGAAGAAAATGAAATATTTTAAAGAATGATGACTTGTAATTTTAAAAATTAATATCATGCATGCAAATTGTTTCTTGCAGTGCTGCTAGAAAGGGAAAATGTCCTAAGAAAGAATGTATTCTCTGGTGGCAGTCAAATCCCTGTTAGGACATCCTCACACTTGTGTGAAGTCGTTTATTTAGTTTGATGGCCTGAAAGCAACAGATGTCTCTCATTAGGAGTCGTAGCAATGATGGGACCATAAATCACAATGTCTCACCATTTCCTCCAGGAAGAGACTTTGTCTTATTGCCAGAATCTCCTGCAATTTACACTGTGTCAGGCTCTTGAGTTTTCTCTACGGCTTAGCAGGATGGTTTACCAAGCACAACTTGTTTGGAGTTCTGGATATCAGCACAGCTGAACTGAACAGAGGCTTCCTGTTTGTAGGGGATAAAGTATGTCTCCTATAAAACAAGCCAAAAGGAAACCGCATTACCTATATCATTGCAGCAATGTTTTCCAATGCCTCCTACAGGGAAGCCTTAGCTTAGACGCTCTTAAGGCATTTTTAAAGCTCGTGAAACTTACAGTCTCCTGGTTTACCCCTGCTTGTGTTGTAGGAATTTTGCACTTACTTTGACTATATGAGGCACCTGATCAACAGTTATTGAAGGAATGAGTTTCAGTCAGAAGAATCTAAACAAGTATTTATTGAACATCCACTGTGTAAGGCACTTGAGGCATTTAGATGAGTTTTATGGATATAAAGATTTAAGTAATTTTTCCCAAATGACTGCATCCACTGAATACACTTCTATTTCTAGGAATTTTCCGGGTGATTTATAGAGGACATAGTGAACAGAAACTACCACTCATGTAGGAAGTGAACCCTCCTTACTGCAGTCACAGTGCCTTGAATTGTATATCCAAATGCATTGAACTAATTCTGTATCATGTGCATGAATTCAGGTGGGAGTGGGGGATGGTGGTGGGAAGAAAGAAATCAACCAGATTAATTTCAACCCACAGACCTGGAACATGATAACCAAGTGCATTTGTTCAAATATTCTGAAATATGTGTATCAGTGGCCTTTCCAACCAAGGGATTGGTTGATATTATCACTGTGGTCTGGGTTGGGTTAAAGGCACTAGACTAAGAAGAGTCCTGAGTTTATGGATAGACTTGGCCAGTGCCAAGATGTGTGACTTAAACAGTTTATTTCTCTGGGCCTCAGGTTGTTCATTTACCAAATGTGGAACAGAAGAATCCTCAAGTTTTCTTTCTAGCCTAACGTTCTCTCTTTTATTTTTGGTGGGGAGGCTGTGCCACATGACTTCCAGGGTCTTAATTTCCCCCAGGGATTGAACCCAGCCCCTCAGCAGTGAAAACCTGAAATCCTATCCAGTGGACCATCAGGGAATTCCCTAATATCCTTTATTTATAAGAGTAAGTGTTAAAATGTCTTGATTTCATCACTGACTCTACCATTGGCTAACTAGCTGACCACAGCTACTATCCCTAACATTACCTACACCCATTTTCCACTTTTTTTAAATGTAGATAAATAGCTAAATGGTATGGAAGGTCACTTCCTAGTCTAAGACTCCATAAATTTTGTCCCCATCTGTAAAATTTCAGCATTTAAATTTCAGCTTCACAAGTAAAAGTATGAGAAACTGAACAAAGTCAGCATATGAAATTCAGTAACTGTTTTCATTGTTTGGAAGGAGTTGTGGTCAAAGGAGACATGTCAGGTCATACAGGAAGAACAAAGACCACTGTTACATATTTTGAAGCCCAAACTGTACTGAAATCTCAACTCCAGAATGTCAGTTACTCATCCTTTTAGCAGATGTTTACTGAGTATTTAAGAAGAGCATAGTCAGATGAAATCAGACTGAGATCCTTTTGTGTTTCCTTTTTCTCTGCAGAATCCATTTCTATGCCCAGCAGACACTTCCAATGCCTTAGCTCTTTCCTCTCACACCATTAAAGCTAGCAGCATCATTCTCCTTCTTTAAAAACTTTCACTATCTTCAAATGCCTGCTGAAGAAATTCAAGCTTTGTCAGAACCTCAATGCTTTTCATGACATAATGATACTAGTCTTCACTGAGCATGAAGTGTTAGTCACACAGTTATGTCTGACTCTTTGCGACCCCATGGACTGTAGCTCACAAATGTATCTCCATTTCAGTCCATGGAATTCTCCAGGCAAGAATACAAGAGTGAGTAGCTGTTCCCTCCTCCAGGGAACAGAAGGGATTGAATTTGTGTCTCCTGCATTACAGGTAGATTCTTTACCATCTGAGTTACCAGGGAAAACTGGAGCGTGAGGTTCCATTAAATTAGAAGCTCAGACCCTTTCACAATAGAGATTTCATACACACACACACACACACACACACACACACAAAATAGGAACTTTTTCAGATGGACTATATTAAATCTATAAAAACAAAGATCACATTTATTTGAGATGGTTCAAGTGAGAGTGCCCAGTCTATGAAAGAATAACAATGATAACATATTTAGTGAACTTTTAACATTTGCCCAAGACTGTTCTAAGAACTTGCATGTAGTATCTTATTTAATGTCTTCATGACAACTCTACGGAGTACACATTGTTATCATTGTGTAGGTGAGGAAACTGAGTTACATAGAGATTAAACAATTTGCCGTGGCCACGTGATTAATAGTTGGTTGAGCTGAGATTCAAATTCGGGCCATCTGAGAGATGATACCATCTCTCCGCCTGGTATCTCCTATCTAGGCTGGAAAACTGGCTTCACTTCCAGGAAACTTGCCAAGATACATTTAGAGGAATAGGATGTCCTCTGAACCACATTAGGGCAAACCCAGAGAGTGTGGGTCCCCTAGGTCAAGGTTTAAACTAAACAACCCCATCTGAAAAGAATGGTAATTATTATACGCCTATGTTATCTTGGCGTTTTAAATTTTTAAAAATTGCCAGTATTGTTTGTTCTGAGCCTTATATTCATGGTGAGTTCTGCTTGCTAAGGTAAAGGCACTTACCCTGACTATATAAAGTAACAAAATATCTGCTTAATGAGCTCATTTAAAATAAGCAAAATCCCTTTTTTTTTTACCCCAAAGATAACTATTACATTCCATCTATCAACTCATTTCTCCATAGGGCACTAAATAGTTCAAGATGTCTATGTAAAATATTGCTGAGAGCAGAACATGTTCGTAAATTAAAAAAAAAAAAATAGCCTGACAATTCTTGATAATTCTAATGGAACTTCCCAACAATCACACTAAGTTGATTGCAATTAAAATCCTGGCTCCACACCCAAAAGGGTTTCTCCCTGCAACCCGTCAACACTAGTTGGACATCCACTCTACTTACAGTCCTTTCATGTACTACTTAGGTCCAATTGTGGTGTCTGTTTGGTTCATTGAAAACATATTAATTCATATGTTTAAAGATAAGTGGTTCCTCATATCATATTTTGGAGAAGGAAACAGCAACCCATTCCAATATTCTTGCCTGGAGAATCCCATGGACAGAGGAGCCTGGCAGGCTACAGTCCATGGGGTCGCAAGAATTGGACGTGACTTAGCGACTAAATCACCATATCAAATTTAAAGGTAAGAGATGAAAAACAATGTCACCATTATTTTGAGAAATTGAGTGTACAGTTTACCTCATGAAATACATGGCCTTCAAGAGAGTTAACCAGCGGGGTGAAGCAGTCAGGAAAAACAATGCCCACAAAAGCCACGGATGCCTGCAAGGTAGGAGAGGAGTCTGCCTGACTCCTGACCTCCTTTATCTGGAGAGAGCAATTCTCTACCGCTTCTATGGCTTAGTCTCTTGACAGCCTTCAAAAGGCAATTCATAAAGTAAAAGGTGAACAGAAGTTTTGTTAAATCCCAATAAAAATAAAGGATAAAAGTTATAAAATAGAAATAGATGCGATTTTAAACAGAAGATAAAAGGCTAGAGCCAATGATACAAAAGGTTACTATTTTTTAATATAAAAAAGGTTAAGATAAAAGGCTAAAACCCATGAGATGAAACATTTAAAATAATCACATAAATTTGATCAAGGGTCAAGCACAGAGGGACTTAAAAATGAAAATTGTGCACTAAGGAAAGAAGACAATAAAATATATATATGTATAATACATTTCAAATAAAAGGGAGAAAGTTCAGAGATTAGGGAGACAAAGGAAAAAAGGGAAGAGGCAGGAAAGAAAATTAGAGGTAAATAACATACTAGAAGCAAACTCAGAGGAAGTGCTGGATTTCAGAGAACTTCAGTGTCCTTAGGCATCGTGTGACCCTAGGACAAGCTGTCTACCACTGCCCAGAGCCTCAATCCCACCCAGGACCCAGGCAAAGCAGGAGCGCCCCACTGCTTGCAACTGGGAAACTTTAGGACCACACAATCCATTTAAACATGGCCACAGAAACTTCCTAAATCACTCGTTTCTACTTCATCAGGCAACTTTACTGGCAATGGGCTAGCATGGCATTTTGGTCAGAAAGACTTAAGTGACGTTTCACTCTACTGCTAATGGATTGTGTAGCTTTGGGCAAGTCTTTCAACTTCTCTGAATCCCAGTATCCTTATCTGGGTTGTAAAATGATGAACTAATAATTACACCACCAATAATAGCAATTCATCTGTGTCTCATTATTAGTATTTTCTTATTTCACTTCTTTTAGAGATAGTCCCTGCCAAGCACTAATCAATTTCTATATTTGTCTCGCTTAAGCCTCACACCCACCTAAGGTAACATTACTCATCCCAGTGTCAGTAGCATCACCCAAGACTCCTGTGTATTCTGAGAAATTCCATCCAGAAACTTAGAGAGCTTCTGTCACCATTGGTCTCTATACGTAACTCACGCCTATAAACCTCAAATTACAACCCTCTACTGAGAGAGGACGGGCTGCTAGGAAGAAGCGAAGAAACCACAAGTCAAAGTATATTCTCCTGAGTAAAAGAGGCTTGGACATGCTATCTCAGTCTTTTGTAGGATATTGAAATGCTAACTTATCATTATTTTATTTCCAACATTTCAGACTCTACAACATATGCGCATTTTCTGTTCAATGCATTTGATACGGACCACAATGGAGCAGTAAGTTTTGAGGTAAGTCTTAGGGTTTTTGTGTGTGTGTGTGTGTGTTTAATAATGCTTTGACTTTGGATACACTGAAAGGGATTTAGTGCTATTAGGGTGAAAATTTGAGTTTGGTGGTATAATTTTTTTTGCTTTTTGAGACTTTTGTTTCTTTATTATTGTTGTATTAAGAATACTCAACAAGAGTGAACATCTTTGTCTTGCTCCTAATACTAGAGAAAAAGTTTTCCATTTTCTCCACTGAGTGTGATGTTAGCTGTGGCCTTTTCATATATTGCCTTTATTATGTTGAGGTGAGTGAGTGAGAGTTGCTCAGTCATGCCTGATTCTTTGTAACCCCATGGAGTATAGCCTGTCAGGCTCCTCTGTTCATGGAATTCTCCAGGCAAGATTACTGGAGTGGGTTGCCATTTCCTTCTCCATACTTTCCTTCTATTTCCAGTTTGTTGGCAGTATACATCTTGAAAGGGTATTGAACTTGTCAAATGTATTTTCTGCATCTATTGGGATGATAAGGTGTGTATCCTTAATTCTGTCAATGTGGAATATTATATTACTTGATTTTTATGTATTGATTCACCTTTCCATCCCCAGGGATAAATTCTACTTTTTCATGGAGTATGATCATTGTAATATGCTCTTGGATTTGGTTTGCTAGTGTTTTGTTGAGGATTTTTGCATCTGTGAGTATCAGGAATATTGGCCTGTAATTTTCTTTTGATTTTTTTGTCTGGCTTTGGCACCAGGGTAAGGCTGGCCTAATTTGGAAGTGTTTCTTCCACATCAATTTTTTGGAACAGTTTGAAAAGGGTTGGTGTTAGTTCTTTAAATATTTGGCAGAATTCACCAGTGAAGCCATCTGCTGCTAGGCTTGTCTCTTTTGGGAGGTCTGTGATTACTGAATCAATTTCCTAGTTATATATCTGTTCATACATTCTATTTCTTCATGATTCAGTCTTGGTAAGCTATCTAGGAATTTTATTAATAGCTCTTTTAAAATCCTTTTATTTAAAAACTGGTAATCTAGTAAGTATATGTTTCTAGAAGTTCTGTGAGCTGCTCTAGCAAATTACTTGAACCCAAGTAAAGGTTTGTTGGAAACTCCAGTCTGTAGCCCATTGGTCAGAAGCATGGGTGACAACCTATAGTTGCAGTAGCATCTGAAGTTGGGGGCCAGGAAGGGGCTGTCATGTAGAATCTGGCTCTATCTCCAGGAAGAAAGTATCAGAAGTAAGTTGAATTGTAAGACATCTGGTGTTGGAGATTACTTGATTAACATCTGGTGTTGGAGTGAGGAAATCCACACTCACACACTAGAATTGTGTGCAGAATTGTTAATATGTATCATGGGAACCAGACAATTTAGAAGGTATGCATTTTTTAAAATTGGGAAGAGTGCATCTTGCACATGAACAGAAATTTCAGTGAGTGTCAGAATAAAGGAAAGCAGATGATGGTGTGGAATCAACAGGGAAGGGTACTAGTGGGCTGTATCAGAGAAGCCCGCGCATGGACCTGATCAACTCAGTCTGGAGGACAAGCAGGAGCTGCTAAAGAGGATAAGGGCTCAGGATGGGGAGCAGGGGGGAGTGAGGCAGAGGCCTGGAAATGAAGAGAAAACATTTAAGTTACCTAGAAGATGAAACGCAAAAGGGGGAGAGTGACAGGAAAGCTGGGTAAGGAGGCCGAGGGCAGATCTCCACACATCTGAGGCAGGATGCCAAGGAGGCTGAACTGCAGGAGGTGAAGAGCAAGATAAGAATTGAACAATTTTCAGCAGGGAAGTTAAGGTATGTTCCTAGAAACAAAAAGTCCAATTAGCAGCTCTTTATCCCCAGAGTTCAGACAGGGGCTGATGTCAGCTGGATCTACGGTGAAGGCATTGGAGAGAAGGGAGTGACAAGCTCAGGAGGTATAAAAATTAAATTGGCATACTAACATCTCAACACTTTGAGGCGCCAGGATGATAACAGGAGGCACAAACTCCTGAGAGGTCACTCAGTCTGTGGCCCTTGTACCTCCTCACACACTAGATGCTCACACAGGTTGAACGCTACTGAATGATGATTCTGGGCCAGGAAACTCCGTGAGTCATCTCACAACGTAACCAAGAAAAATCACTGACTAAATAAGAGGAGAAGCTGGCAGCGGCTCAGTAAAGGTGTGGGCCAAGGAGCCAGCAGTGGTCCATGGGTTGACCCCGATGCGACAACAGCAATTAGTGAAGAAGATGTGAGTCTATCATAGGTACCTGTCCCCTGACACATGTCTTCCACTTTGGCAGCCGATGATCCCCTGTGCCAATATTGTATTAGTGTTTGCTGCACTTTACCAACAAGATTAATTCCGGCAAGGCCTTAGTTTAGCCATAACATAGAAATCAAACGTTCCAGTTCACCTAATAAAATCTTTCATAGCTAAGGTATGAGTAAGGCAAAGACTGCTAGTGCTTTCATTACTTAAAATTACTTACATATTAGAAATGTACCATCAATTACTCATAGCACTTTGTATCCAATTTCACATGTAAATTTAGTCTGGTGTTAATGATATGAGACCATGCCTAATGTTGCTATTACAATATTTATGTAATATTCATCATAGTAATTGTGATGAATGCTGATGATAATTTGGGAAATTAGTTGTAATGACTATATACTATAAGCATGTTGGTAAAAAATGTCTTTTTAGAGACAAACTAATGGATGAATTAATAAATGTTAAATCAAAATCAAATTTAAAACTAGGCTATTGTAGTTATTTTTCTAAATTGAATAGCTACGTGAAAAGTCTCTAGAAAGCAGAAATGATTAAGAAATGAACATATTTTGACTAGCAGTAGATCCTGGGAAGTACAGCAGAAACAATCCTAATGCAAGATAAAGGAAAATGGAAGTTTTATACTTAATTTGCTTAAACCCAAAGGGTGGAGTGGATAAGACAGGAGGGGCCCTGGATCCAGATATGACTGGAGCTAAAAATCCCTTTGCCATCAAGTGGTTGAGACCCTGTGAGATCCTCTGAGCCTTAGTGTTCCTTTCTGTGAAACATCAGCAAACAAAGCTACTTCACAGGATAATAGGATGACAAAGTGATGTCACCTAAGGGCTTGGCTGAGTGCCTGGCACCAAATATGTGCTCAATATTTATTAGATATTAACCACAGCAGGTACTGCAAAGGAAAGTTTTTCCAACGAAGCCAGTTAAGAACGACATTGGTCATTTTATTACTCAGTGATCTTACAATGAACACATTTAAGCACGGGCCAAATGATCACTCTGTCTGCAATGCTGTGAGAGTTCTGCATCTGATTATAAAACAAGCACTTATTTTGTGTCAGTCACTGTACTAAGTATGTGAAAATAACATTAAAAATAATATTAATAATACCTACATACAATAAGACTAGCTGACGTGTTTAGCACTCTTTCTGAGTCAGGCATTATGATGAATGAATTACACACAGTAACTTAATCTTCACAGGTATGATTATTGTCATTTTAGCAAATTAGGAAAGAGATTCACAGAGAACTAAAGCAACCTGCCCAAGGTCACACAGCTAGAAAGTAGGAGAGTCAGGATTCAAACTCAAGCAGTCTGGCCCAGCATACATCTCTTAGCAATTGTGCTATCCTACCAGTTCAGTTCAGTTCAGTCACCAGTCGTGTCCTACTTTTTGAGACCCCCATGGACTGCAACACACCAGGCTTCCCTATCCATCACCAGTTCCTGAAGCTTGCTCAAACTCATGTCCATCAAGTTGGTGATGCCATCCAACCATCCCATCCTCTGTTATCCTCTTCTCCTCCTGCCTTCAATCTTTCTCAGTGTCACGGTCTTTTCCAATGAGTCAGTTCTTTGCATCAGGTGGCCAAAGTTTTGGAGTTTCAGCTTCAGCATCAGCCCTTCCAATGAATATTCAGGACTGATTTCCTTTAGAATAGACTGCAGTCTATTCTTGCAGTCCAAGGGACTCTCAAGAGTCTTCTCCAAAATGCAAATCAAAACCACAATAAGGTACCATTACACGTCAGTCAGGATGGCTGCTATCCAAAAGTCTACAAGCAATAAATGCTGGAGAGGGTGTGGAGAAAAGGGAACCCTCTTAAACTGTTGGTGGGAATGCAAACTAGTATAGCCGCTATGGAGAACAGTGTGGAGATTTCTTAAAAAACTGGAAATAGAACTGCCATATGACCCAGCAATCCCACTTCTGGGCATACACACCGAGGAAACCAGATCTGAAAGAGACACGTGCACCCCAATGTTTATCACAGCACTGTTTATAATAGCCAGAACATGGAAGCAACCTAGATGCCCATCAGCAGATGAATAGATAAGGAAGCTGTGGTACATATACACCATGGAATAGTACTCAGCCATTAAAAAGAATTCATTTGAATCAGTTCTAATGAGATGGATGAAACTAGAGCCCATCATACAGAGTGAAGTAAGCCAGAAAGATAAAGACCAATACAGTAACTAACGCATATATATGGAATTTAGAAAGATGGTAACGATAACCCTATATGCAAAACAGAAAAAGAGACACAGATGTACAGAACAGAATTTTGGACTCTGTGGGAGAAGGCAAGGGTGGGATGTTTCGAGAGAACAGCATCGAAACGTGTATATTATCTAGGGTGAAACAGATCACCAGCCCAGGCTGGATGCATGAGACAAGTGCTCGGGCCTGGTGCACTGGGAAGACCCAGAGGGATCGGGTGGAGAGGGAGGTGGGAGCGGGGACCGGGATGGGGAATACATGTAAATCCGTGGCTGATTCATGTCAATGTATGACAAAAACCACTACAATATTGTAAAGTAATTAGCCTCCAACTAATAAAAATAAATGGGAAAAAAAAAAAGAGTCTTCTCCAACACCAAAGTTCAAAAGCATCAATTCTTTGGCACTCAGTTTTCTTTATAGGTCAACTCTCACATCCATACATGACTACTGGAAAAACCATAGCTTTAACCAGATGGACCTTTGTTGGCAAAGTAATGTTTCTGCTTTTTAATATGCTGTCTATGTTAGTCATGACTTCTTTTCCAAGGAGCAAGCATCTTTTAATTTCATGGCTGCAATCACCATCTGCAGTGATTTTGGAGCCCCAAAAAATAGCCTGTCACTGTTTCCATTGTTTCCCCATCTATTTGCCATGATGTGATGGGACCAGATGCCATGATCTTTGTTTTTTGAATGTTAAGTTTTAAGGCAACTTTTTCATGCTCCTCTTTCACTTTCATCAAGAGGTGTTTTAGTTCCTCTTCACTTTCTGCCATAAGAGTGGTGTCATCTGTGCATCTGAGGTTATTGGTATTTCTCCCAGCAATCTTGATTCCAGCTTGTGCTTCATCCAGCCCGGCCAGCGAGGCACATATAGGTTCCCAGTCCCTCACTCGAATTCCTTACAGCCAGCTGAATTTGTCATTCAGAGTCTTGCAGATTTTAGACACACAACACTGTGCATATACTCTTTATTATTCATGTCTCCTGCAGGATCTGCAGCATGCTGTAATCAACTGTGTAACATTTGTACAGTAAAACTATTTTTGTTCAGTTGCTAAGATATGTCTGACTCTTTGCAACCCCGTGAACTGCAACATGGCAGCCATCTTCTGGAGTTTGCTCAAACTCATGTCCATTGAGTCAGTGGTGCCATCCAACCATCTCATCCTCTGTCATCCCCTTCTCCTCCTCCCTTCAAACTTTCCCAGCATCAGGGTCTTTTCCAATGAGAAGACTCTCCGCATCAGGTGGCCAAAGTATTGGAGTGTCAGCTTCGGCATCATTCCTTCCAATGAATTTTCAGAGTTTATGTCTTTTAGGTTTGACTGGTTAGATCTCCTTGCTGTCTCAACAATAAATGTAGCAGAGAGTGCTACTGATCCAATGTCCATGCATTCTGCTTTAAGATCACATGATCAGTCCATATTCCCAGCCTCTCCTCCTTCCCAGGTAGGTGGGGCCAAGACTGAATTTCAACCAATGGGAGTGGTTGAAGTGGTGGAAGTGACCACAGCTCCTCTCTCTTCCCATCTGTGGAGACCGTGAGGTTACATATTTCAGTTTGCCTTGGAGCAAAGAATCCTGGATCTCTGTTATGACTGCACAGAACAGAACACCATCCTCACTCATATTTCATTGCATGTGAGTGAGAAATAAGCTTATACTGTGTCAAGCTACTATGACTTGGAAATATTAAATGTCTTTTGATTAATGTGATTGATAACACATAATAAGTGATTAGTGATAGAGATAAACAGATAAATAGATAGATGCTAGAATAGTTTCATGTCATTTCAGTTCAGATTTTGGCATTAAATGAGTTCTGGCACCAAAATTCACCACCACCCCTATCTTCCCAATAAAGGTTCTTCTTTTTCAGTTTATAAAAAATATTGTTGGATGGGAGTGGTGAGTTGCGGATAAAAAAAACAAAGGCCTGTATTACTTGCCACATGTTAGAGATGAGGAGTTCCAGACTTAAGAGATGTTAAGTGATTTGCCCAAAGTCATACAGTTAATGAGTGGCAGAACCAGAATTGAACCCCAGCTCTACCTAAGACTCTAAAACTTATGGTGAATATGACATAAACAAAGAGACATGAAGTAAAAGGCTGACAAATTCTAGAATATAAAAACCAAAAGATGCCTACTCAACAGAAAATCAGTGTAATAAAAAGAAAGAAATGACAAACTGGGAAACAATATGTGAAGATATATTGCAGACCAGGGATAGTTTTACTAATATGTGAAGAGTTTCTATAAATCAAGATATTTCCAAAAACTGCTCAAATTTATTCACAGTAGAATGAATACAAATTTTAGTAATCTGAGACAGAAATATTAATCTACAAGTTTGAGAAAGATCACAACTGTGATCCATATAGTACTGACAAGCTATAATTTTCTTATGCATAGATTTTGAAAAGAGAATTGGAGGGGCAATTTGAAAATAAGTATATAACATTTATCAATGTTCAAATCTTTTGACCGAGAGGTTCCACCTCTAGGAACTGCAGATATACTTATTCAGTATATATATTATGTATATATAAAGTCACTCTGTAGCTTTCTTTATAATGAGACTGGAAATCTTTAAATAATTCATCCATAGGATATTGGCTAAATAAATTATGGTTTATTCATATGTATGCAATGATGAAAAAGACAGGAATTATTTCCAAGTTTTATTGCTAAGTTTTTAAAAAACACACACACACAAAGCAGCCTGTTACACTATCATTTTTGTAAAAGGAGAAGAAATAGATATTTAAATAAATATGCCTTATACTTGTATATGCATAAAAATTCTTCAAAAGTAAAAACAAGAAGGTACTAATGTCAGTTGGCTAGAGGAAAGAAATAGGGTGGATGGGGTGCAGAATTGGGAGGATGATTTTGCATGAAACATCTTATATATTTTTACATTTTTAATTACATGAATGTCACCCATCTTTAAAAAAAAAAATTGTAAAGAAGTTGAGACAGGAAAACAAGTACAAAATGTTGGAATGTAAAAATGTAAAGCAAGACTACAACTTTGCCCAGAGTCCACTCCTGGAATTCCCTTCTGCTCTTTCATTCCTACCTGACAGCGGATTGTCAATTCCATGTGAACTCAGAATCCACCATATTGTGATGCTAACCCTGCCAACTGAGCACCAAGTATATATGAACTTGATAGAGTTAATCTGGATTGTCTGCTATTCAATCAAACCTGCCTAACCTTGAAGTTGACTGAGGGTTCCATTTACTTGACAAATACATAGCCACTGTCCTTGCCACACAGTTATAAGCGGCTTAATTCTTTTAATCCTCATAAAATTTTTGAGAAGTTAGATATGGTAATCTCCACTCATGAAAACTGAGATAAAAGGATGTCAAGTTGTCTGAGAGGACAGTTATCGGGTGATAGAGCTGGAATCTGAACTCAGGCTGCCCGGCTTCTAGCTCTGTGCTCTTAGCCACTGCCCACAACTTGATTTCTAAGTAAAGGCTTCACTTGGCCCGTATCTTAAAGACAATCCACATCTCTTGGTTAGCCAGTCTTATCCAGGGGAAGTGTGTTATGTATATGCTTGTATTTTAAAAGATACATTGTCATTAGATTCTTTTCAGTAAAAGAATATTATGCACTTGTAGTAGGAAGTAAGACCACTTAAACACGTGCGTATGGGTCTTGTTTTTGGGTGTCTGTTTTGACACAATTTCCGATTGACTTAAGTCACAGTTTTCAATTAGAAAGTGGGAATGTTGGGCTTCCCTGGTGGCTCAGTGGTAAAGAATCCGCCTGACAATGCAGGAGACACAGGATCAATCCCTGGTCTGGGTAGATCCCATATGCCTTGGAGCAACTAAACCAGTGAGCCACAGCTATTGAGCCTGTGCTCTAGGGCCCAGGAACTGTAACTACTGAAGCCTGTGTGCCCTAGAGACACAACAAGAGAAGCCACAACAATGAGAAGCCTGTGCGCTGTAACAAGGAGTAGGCCCACTTGCCACTAGCAGAGAAAAGCATGTGCAGCAAGGAAGACTCAGCACAAGGAAAATAAATACATAAATAAATACAATTATTTCTTAAAAAGTGAAATGTTAAACCTAAGGAGGGTTTATGCCCACAAAGAATGCTGGGAAAAGATGATCAGGAATTCATGAACCATTTTGCTAAGTGAATGGTTCAAAATCCAGAGGTCTGAAAGCTTTACTTGTACCATTTGACAAAGAATTTTATTAGAGTTTGTTTTTATTTAGAAATTCTATATCAAATTGTATTTTTACTTCTTTTTAGGATTTCATCAAGGGTCTTTCTATTTTGCTTCGGGGGACAGTACAAGAAAAACTCAACTGGGCGTTTAATTTGTATGACATAAATAAAGATGGCTACATCACTAAAGAAGTAAGAAATGCCTCACCAACACAGCTAGCCTTTGGACCATTTTCATTTTTTAACTTGAAATGCTAAATGATTGCAATTATCATTCTAAAATCACTTTTTTAGGAATCTAACATATTTTCTGTGGTTGGAATGGGTAGAAATAGCTTATTGTTAATCTCAATTATTATAAAACACAGAAGGATCACATCTTGATTTCTAATAGCATTTTAATAAATACTGTACATGGAATAAAGAGAGTGGTTGGAATGAGATTGGAAGAAAATATATCCAAACCATGTTAGAATATTTGGCCTGTAACTTCTTTTTCTCCCATATAATATGGTCCACGTGGGAACAGAGGCAATTTTAACATTGTGTGAATTATGTAGTGATCTGTATTATGTGGGAAATGACCTAAGGCAATAGTAGGGTTTCAAATATATTTCCAGGTGGGCTAATCTAAGGAAAAAGGCTCACAGACCAAATTAGGATGTGCATATCAAATGGCTGATAACTAATTTAAAACACAATGAGAAGTAAGTGGGGAAGGATGGGATAAGATAACGAATTGAGGATAGAGTGAAGGTAGGTTGAAGGACCATATTACCTGAGTCCTGGGTGTGATTCAATGTCTACATGTTCTTTCTCTCACTAGCTTTCCCCAGAGTTGTGTTTTGAGCATGAGGCTCCTCAAATAGAAGGTATCCTGGGACAAACATTGACTAGCTCTGTCCAAGATACAGGGACAAGTTCACGTGACCACAGTTATAATGAAACAATTGACCTGATCAATGTCCATGGGTTTTGTGTTTGTTGAGCAGAGGACACATGGGCCAGAACAGATCTCACAAATGGGTGGCTGAATTAAGACCTCATGAGTATTAAGTATTCAGGTACTTTGAGCATGTCTCCTGGATACTTACTGCCTCTTGTATGTTTGGTATACAACAAACATTTAGTAGTACTCAGATGCCTCCAGGATATTAGGTATCTCTTGGTCTTTTCTGTGTTTAACACAAACATGCTGTTCTTACCACTTGTATCTTACACATCTCATGAATGCTATATTAAACAATCTTCCACTCAAACCATAGGGGTTCACCTATGGTTTACAAACTACAAATTTTATCATTTAAAATGGAATTGAATACTGTCAAAAGTAAAAGTATATTACATGCTTAATCCAGACTCTTATGTGGAAACTTCGAAAAGAAGAAAACAAGTATGAATAAAACTGAATGTCTATGTTAACTAGATATTTTTTTTCACTAAGACTGGAAATCACAAATCAAAAACTAGATTTGGTTTTAACAAAAATTAAAATTTCAAAGCATTTCCTGCATAATATTTTGACTAATCCACATATGACTTTAAAGTCACAATAGGAAAAACACGTGGAAAACCCTAATAAGCTCTGAGACTTATCAGTTAGTTTTAGTATAATTCTCATAATGTGGAATATATTTTATTCTCAGTAAATGGAAATTGATAGTCAACATATAAAATATATAATAAGCCTATAATGCAAAGATAGCCTGTGTGAAGTTGTATGGAAGTCCAAATATTACACCAGGGTGTTTTCTGATCATGTTAGTTATACAGTAATTTATTTCATCTTGAAACCAAGATCAGACTTGATTCTTACATTCTGATTCTGCTATTTTTAAGGCATAAGGCTATTACTCTGGGACAACCAAGATATTTAATGAAGAATCAACAAAAAATTAAAACTTTGAAACTGAGTAGGAATAACCTGTCAAGGCTTCTCAGGGTGGTTTCTTTTCACATCATTTGTGGCCTCACGTAACTGCCCTTTCCTTTTCAGGAAATGCTTGATATAATGAAAGCAATATATGATATGATGGGTAAATGTACATATCCTGTCCTCAAAGAAGATGCTCCCAGACAACATGTTGAAACATTTTTCCAGGTAGGAATGCAATAGAGAGGGAATGAAATTAAGAGCAAATTTCCTGATGTTTGCAAAGCATCATGACAATTCAAAAGAAGGTAAAGGAAAATAATTTTTTACTGAAAGTGACAAAACTATAGAATATTTACCATTCAACTATGGAATAGTACCATTATTAATTTAGCAATTTTGGTTTTGAATTTATCATAATATTGATAATTTCACTTACTGAACTCATTCACCATATCCTCAATAGAACACTAAGATAAGCAAGCAATTGCCATGTCTCATATGTTTTGGGATGTTTGTTTTCATTCATTTCTCGTAAGACTCTATGAGGTTATTTATATCCTCATTAGCCCCAAGTTACAGATGAGAAAATCAAGGTTCTATAAGTCAAATTGCCTGAACTCTATGGTAGCTGCAGGGTAGGGTTTTACTAGAACAGAGAGACTCTAGATCTACACCACATTCTATTAAAAAGGCAACAGCCTAAAATCAGTCAGCCTCATATGAGTCTTATCACCAAGAAACTACTAGTTTGTGTTTTGAAGCAGTTTCTCCTCATTAAATAAGCAGCTGGGCTTTCTTTTCATCTGCTTCAGCTTGTTCAGTTCAGGAGTGAGGGTATTGAGGGGAATGTCTGAGTAAACTTTTTTGTTCTTTAATTCCCTAACAGAAAATGGACAAAAACAAAGATGGAGTCGTTACCATAGATGAATTCATCGAAAGTTGTCAAAAAGTAAGTAATGAGAGTAAAGGAACTATCCTTTTTGCCTTCTTAAGAGCTGGACTGAGCACTGTCCCCTAGCCACCACTGACTGAGCAAAGTACAAAGGTCATATGCCTAAAATCATCACTTCTCTACAACTGAGATGCAACAAGCTTACCACTGAAAACAACCACCGGTTTACACATTCTGTTAGTCAACACACCCTGAGGCAGGCTCTGAGGGAAGCCCTGGAGAGATGGTTGTATGAGTGTGCTTTTGCTCTTCAAATCCTTTGGAATATTCATCACTGAGGACAAAACATATGTGAGATTTGAATTGTTCTTTCCCCAGAACTAGAATATAACATGTATCTTGTCTGTCATATCCTCCAGAGATTTAGGATTCCAGTATGGCCAACAGTGTATCACTGATCAAATTTATATCCAATTTCTAATATAAACACCATTGCTTCAGTGTATGTGAACAAGATATGTCTTTGGCTGAACAAAATAGTTCAGTCACAAAATTAAACAGCAGAAAATCCTCCCTGAGGGAAAGTCCATGCAGTCCTCTACCATCTGGTGGCAGACACCTAGAGTTATTTGACTTCCTATGTGGGTAGAACAATTAAGAGTTTTAAAAATAATTTTGGAGACAAAAGTTTGCTGGTGTTTTACTCTTTCTCATTATTTTCAAATTGATATACTTTCCCTTTCCTGATGCCTGCTTGTTTTTCAACTCATATTTCAATGTCATGGTCTCTCTGAATTAACTTGGTGACATCAATCTGCTAATGGAGGTGTTGTTTGGCTTCCAGAAGAGCATGTCATCAGTTCTGCTACCATTTTCCATTACTATAAATGCTCACAACCTCTAAGTACCCCATCATGCCCAGTCTGTCCCGTTAAGTTTCAAAGGAACGAACTAAACTGCAGATACTGGTCAATGGTTTCTTCCAAACAATCCTTTCCCTGGCATTGAGAGACCATTCATTTTTAAATGTTCCTAAAGGTCACAGAGATTTATCTCAGACTGAGAAGGACAGCTATAATTACCGCCAACCCATCTCCTAAATCCCAACTTCCAGTCTTCATGAAGTTGACTCTTAGCTCACACACAAACCCTGTCTCCTTCCATTTGTACAAGTCCCTGTGATTTGGCCTCTGATGACCAGATATGGCGGTTTGCATTGCTCACTTTGGATACACTCTGTGCTACCTCTCCAGTTTCCATACTGGCATTCTAATTGGAGAAATATCCTCTCAACACAAAGTCAGAGTTAAATAGGTCTTTAAAGCCTGGTGGACTCAGTAAAACATAAAACAGGTTCTCCACAGTATAGCATGGAAAATGGATAGAAGCGTACTTACATTTGCAGACACAGTATTTGAACACTTGGCACAGGAGGTTGGTGGGGGTTGGTGAAACTTAGAGGCAAAATAGTGCACTTTGCTTTACAGATATGGTGAATTTAATCCACTGTTTCTCCCTTACAGGACGAAAACATCATGCGCTCCATGCAGCTCTTCGAAAATGTGATTTAACTTGTCAAATACATCCTCAAACAGACAAACGTGAACGATTCTATCACACAAAGCTGGAGCTACCACTTTTAGCATAGATTGCTCAGCTTTACAATGAGGCATATTATGCAAACAAGCTTTGTTTTAACATAAAGCAACCCCCAAAAGATTTGAGTTTTCCGTTTATAAATCTGCATCCTTTTCATAATGCCACTGAGTCCATGGGATGTTCTAAGTCATTTCATACCCTGTGAATATTCAAAAGGAATAGAATCTGGCATATAGTTTTATTCATTCTCTAGCCATGTGATTATTGAAGCTTTCACATTATTGGTGATTTTAAAATATGTTTTTTGCTACTCACGTGTATGTATTCAGTCCCAGGATTTTAAATGGTTTTCTAAATACTAGCATCTGTACTTAATTTCCAGCTATTAGTTTCCATGTTTGAATACTGTAATTCCAGTTATACTTTAAGTAAACAAGATTACTATAATTGGAAACACACACACACACACACATAGTCCGTTTCTCTGGATTTGCTGCCTTCTGTTAAGACATTCATCTGGCATTTTTTATAACATGAAACAAATTAGTTTATCACCAGATGTCAGCATATGCCTAATAGAGCTTATTTAATAAGCATTCTCAATTTTTCATAATACATATTATAGCCAAGGCCTACATGATATATGTAATTTTGGATTTGTTCAATCCTATAAGTTGACTGTTTTCTGTCACTAAGTGAAGTCCAAGAAGGTGTGAAACAAAGCAAGGATGCCCACAGGCTTATGAAAAGGGTCAGGACATCTGTCCTCTAGGCCATGGCAATGCTTAGCAAGTTCATTCTTAACCACATTCAAGGCCTATTGCATTCTGACTCCCTCCTGGCACCTTTACATTATGTGCCATTCAGGGACAAAGAAATCTTGGTTACCCCAATGCCTACTAGGTACAAACAGCAAGAATTCACTTTGAAAGCACCACTGATTCCATTATATTAAGCACTAGAATACCCAAATTTAGTAGAAAATGAATATAAATGCTAAGCAACTCCTCTGGATTGTATTATGATTTAGCTCATCATAAAACTCCAATTATTCAGATTATTTTTAATGACCTTAAGCCAAAATTGTAAAGCTGCCACGGTATTACTAAAGATACACACACCTTCCTTGTTTTGCAGAAATATCACCAAGATCAAGAGGCTAGAGTAGGAGGAAATTTGCAACTGTCTCTGCAACAATAAATCAGGTATCTATTCTGGTGTAGACATAGGATGTTGAAAGCTGCCCTGCTATCACCAGTGTAGAAATTAAGAGTAGTACAATACATGTACACTGAACTTGGCCATCGCGTGTTTGTGTAAACTCAATGTGCACATTTTGTATTTCAAAAAGAAAAAATAAAAGCAACTAAAATGTTTATAACTCTACTATGTTATAGGCCTTTATTTCAATAAATTTTATAATTACTAAACACATCAAGTTTTTCTTATGGGATTTTCTAAACTGTAGAGATCTTGGTCTCTGGGTGGTGCTGAAGTACAAGGAAGAAGAGTCAGAAGAGTGGGCAGGCAGGCGTGTGAACTGATGGGCCCTGAGGATGTGATGAGGGTAGAGACTTGAGGGAAGAACGGGTGAGGCAGGGGACTAGGAAGGACAGGAGTTCTAAGGGAGAAGGAACATTTCTGCAGTTACAACTCTTTAGAAGTTACTTAGCTTTTATTTTTTTATTTTTTTTTTGCATTGTATTTATTTCTTAATATAAATTAATTTATTTTAATTGGAAGCTAATTACTTTACAATATTGTAGTGGTTTTGCCATACATTGACATGAATCCACCACGGGTGTACATGTGTTCCCCAAATTACATCTGAGAAACTGCACCTGAAATGAGAATTATTTACACAAAGAGATCACTCCACATATCTGAGAGGTGGAATAAAGAAAAGGTGAACATCCTTCTGGGATAGAATGTGAAACTGTGAACATGCTCAATCGTGTCCAACTCTGTGGTCCCAAGACTGTTGCCTGCTAGGCTCCTCTGTCCATGGGACTCTCCAGGCAAGAATACTGGAGTGAGTAGTCATTCCCTTCTCCAGGGGATCTTCCCGACCCAGGGATCCAATCTGGGTCTCCTGCATTGCAGGCGGATTCTTTACTGTCTGAGCCTCCAGGGAAGCTCCTTCTGGGATGGAGCTGCTGCTCTAATCTCCATCTCTTCAGAAGGCTCAGTCAGCCTTGGACTTGGTGTCCTTGGACACCCTTGGACTCAGGGTCCTAAGGCTCTCCTCCTGCCCAGAAGATGGAGGGTCTCCTTGTTTTCTGTTTGTCTCCCTCTATTCCTTTCTCTGTAGAAAGATCTAGAATCAGATGCTATCACATCAACACTCAGAACTACACTTATAAGTAATTCTTTAATAGCTTTTTCAACTAAGCTAATTGTTAAACATAAGCAAGCACAACAAAATAACTGAATACATGTAAGAGTTTTAAGATTTTAATTTCTGAATATCTTCATGTACTGAATACCAGTATTTTCAAACTATGAAATAAACATATATTTACTTAAATACAATTAACACCTAAATTTAGGTAGTTTTAATGAGTTGTAATAAACAACCATACTTAAAAGAGAATTTACACATTAAAAATCTTTTTCTTAAAGTAGAATACTCTGGAAAGAAATTTTTTCCAAACATTCTACATTATAAAATACATACTTACAAACAATATAATTAACAGTGAATTCACAAATGTTTGTCCACTATTTTAAACTCCCATAGACTTGATAAATATAACACCCAGGAAATGGCAGAATGTCTAAATGTAAGTACACAGGTACAAACTGACTGTATAAATGTTATATACAAAAAGCACCAGAATACATACAAACCTATCCACTGTAAACCCAGTAACTGCTGTTCACACAAATCACACACACACACAAAAATAAGATTGTACTATTATGGAACATTTTTAATAGTTTTCCATTATTAACCATTCTTTCTTTTTGATGAATAACTTGTACTATGATTCGGTGGACTTGTGTATATACTCATCCAAGGCCAGTAATAATGAAGGATGGCTGTGATTTACAAAAAAATAAACTGAAGTGACTCTGAACAGGTTTTGCAGATACCCATGGTCAGCGTTTAACACCTGTCATTCAGGCTCCTTTCTTCAACAGCATATGGAGCAATATGTGGGAATTTTAGATTTGATGATGATAAGGCTTCCCTGTCAACAGAAAAGAAATTTTTTTAGCCTCATTTGTTATCATGCAGGGTTCCCCTAATAGGTATTATGTTTATAGGAGCATGCCTAAAATAGTGTTCAAAGTTGCAAACAAACAAACCAAATAAGGATGGGAGCAGAATGATGGAAAGAGAAATAGAATCTTTTTCCTGAGTTAAATAAAATACAGGTTGTCTCTTTCTGTGGTTTAAAATATTTAACTAGAAAAGTAGTTAGAAACCAGTTTTTTAATCCATCTCCTGCCAATCACTTCCCTATCAAATCTGGGGCTCATTACTTTTCTACACCGGTTTCTAGCTCTTTAAAGGGGGATAACAACAAAATCCACCTCTGACAGCTGGAGCAAAGATTAAATGAATTTAATGTCTAAAATGTACTCAACAGAGTACCTATCATGCAATAAGTTCTTACTTGGTTGATAAAGGTCAGGACGTGTATTTGTACGTACTTTCCCAAGACATATATGTATATCATTTAAAAAGAAAACTGAATAAGGTTAAGAATGAACCAGTTTCAATTTAAGGCAGATAGTAAACTGATTAGTTTTAAGAAAAAGACATCATGGCTGTCTGTAATATTTCTATTTCCTCAGAAGTTGAGTCCTCTGATCATTGTAACACACACAAGCCCTAAGAAATAAAAAACTATTTACTGAGAAGATTGTCTCATAAAGACCCATCTCCAATATTAAAAGAAAAGATATAAACATTGAAGTTTTTAGAAAAGGAAGAACATCATTAATTTCATGATGGATTATAAAGTACCTAAACTCCAATACTTTGGCCACCTGATGCTAAGAGCTGACTCATTTGAAAAGACCCTGATGCTGGGAAAGATTGATGGCAGGAGAAGGGGACGAGAGAGGATGAGATGGTTGGATAGCATCACCGACTCAATGGACATGGGTTTGGGTGGACTCCGGAAGTTGGTGATGGACAGGGGGGCCTGGTGTGCTGCGGTTCATGGGGTCACAAAAAGTCGGACACGACTGAGCGACTGAACTGAACTGAAGGCAAGTACAATAATAATTGTCATGGGAAAGTCTTTGATATGTGATCAAAACTTTCTATTACAATTACATTAATCATTACTAAAATATTATGTAAGACATTAGAAGGAGGGAAAAAGAAAAAGTCTGAGGAAATACCCAACACTTAATAGTTTTTATAACTTCGAAATCTTTTTATTCTGTATCAGCATGACTAAAAACTAATAAGATTCAGTGTCAGTAAGAGAAGATCTCAGCTAGCTGTCACCGGGATCCTTGAACTGGCCACCCACATCCTCTGCATCCCCTTCCAAACCCGAGCGAGCCATTTCTAACCTGTGGCTGTGTGTGGTCAATCATGTCTGACTCTCTGACCCATGGACTGTAGCCCACCAGGCTCCTCTGTCCATCGAATTTTCCAGGCAAGAATACTGCAGTGGGTTGCCATTTCCTCCTCCAGGGGATCTTTCTGACCCAGGGATCAAACCTGCATCTCCTATGTCTCCTGCATTGGCAGGTGGGTTCTTTACCACTGAGCCAGCTGGGAAGCCCATTTCTAACCTGTATTTACTCACAAACTGTCCCCTCTTCCCACACACACCCCCATGAGATCTAAGGCGCCAGGCTGCCCTTTTCTAGTTGCCCAGGCCCCACACCAGCCCACAGGATGCGTGGAAACCATCTGCAGAGTTTCAGACTGAAAAGTCTTGCCATCATTATTCAGCATCTGTTTATTTGCACTTCAGAGAGGAAGGGGCAAATTATTTCTCATTCTAATTCTCAGAACAGCAAGCACATTTATAAGCAAGAATTCCTTTCTGTGCTGGGAAGGGATACTGGACTGACTAGGGTACGATTCTGTGCATTTTAACAAGGTGTCTGAAGGCTAACCCTCTGCCTCGACTCAGACAACAAAGAAACCCGTTATCTAGTAGCCCGGGGACTGACTTTCACATTGTAAACTTTACCCTAGAACTTCATCATGGAAAAAAAAATACAATCAATTTAAAAAGTCACTGAAATTGGTCAAATTAAGTAATTTAGGCAATGCTTCAACTAAAATATCTGCCATATTAAAATTCTATCAATCATGTAAATTTTCTTTAATTAAGTACCTAGAGCAAAATTGAGTCCTGCAATGTTAATCCCATGCAACTCTGATAAAATGTAACATCCAACACATGGCTGAATCACTGCATTATGGCAATATTTCCAAGACTAGAATTTTGAATACATCTTTCACATGACGAAAATTCAATCAACCCAGTTATTTGACAGCACACGGAGAGCAATGAAATCCCCCACATCCCGGTACCTTTCTGCAAGCAGACTAGTCAGCGAAATCACCTCCTGTGTGCACATACACAGGTTCAAGCGAGCACACGTACCTTCCAGACACAACAACCCAGCCATCTGGGAACCTCATCTGAATCTTTGATTATGGACAGACTTCAAACTGTTCAGACAGAAAAGATAACAAAAGGGAAAAAAAACCTACTCTTTCTTTCTCTTGGTCCTTTTTTTTCTTTAACTTCCCAATGGTAAAAGCAAAAACATCCAAAACAGTTTAAATAAAAAAAAATCTGGAGAGCTGTTCTACAAAGGAGGGCCACACGGCAAACACAGTGAAAGTGCACAGGCCCTACAGTGATACAACCTGGGTCTGAATCCCTGTGCTTAAAACTGTGTGACCTACTGTTAATACATAGCAGAGAGAACCTCAGTTTATAGTAAGCTTAAGGGAAGAGCACCTGAAAAAGTTTATATATATATATGTGCGGATATAGAGCTGCATCACTTCTCTGTACACCGGAAACATGACATCATAAATCAACTACACTTCAATTAAAAAAAACCACAAAAACCTGTGTGACCTAGGCAAGAAAGAAACTCTGAGCTCTAAAAAGAGAAAAATAATATTAACTCCACATGGTTACTTGAGCCTGAAGTGAGATAACATGTTATCTGATCAATTTTATAATATGACTAAAATCTTTAGAAACTACGGTTTATGGGGAATAATGCTCACTTACACTTCCGCCATGCTGTTCCAGCTTCTGTAACGCAGTAGTGATTGGTTCTTTGAATTTCTTGTCCCTTAATCTCTTAGAAAGCTTTGAAAATAAGAGAATGAAACGACTTGAAAAAGTAACACTGTTCACCATAAACATTAGTAAAAATTCACTAATAGGCTAGCTAGAAATAATACCATTGAGTCTTTACTATACAGTAAGTATACAAACACCACTGATTGTTTTAGATTGCAAGGCTTCTTTTAGGAAATATCTCACAAAAACTTACATAGAATAGATGTCACTGTGTTTGTTTATAAAGATGGATTTATATTATTTGGTAGAATACCAAACTTACAGAATCTGCCCAGTATTACCATACTGTAAGTTTTCCAGAGTAAGGTTTCTAAGAAATTACACTCTTTCCCATTCTGTCATTTGTTAAGACCATTTGGAGGACTATAATGGAAAGCTAAGCCTCTAAAGCACATGTGTTTCCTACAGTCAAAAATGGAAGAGACAACAAAAAATAGAGTATTGGCATGAATAATTCAGTAACACTGACAGGCAGAAGAATCCGCCTAAAACCCACAAGATCACCGAAAGCCCCCAGCTGCGGCGTCCTGAAGGTGCCTGCTTGGACAGGCGGGGAGCTCTGACTGAGATGAGAGAGAACAGGAGTCAGAATAACAGGAGCAAAGAGGGAAAGAGTGCAGTTCAGGCCCTCAACACAACTCCTCGCTGTGTTCTCCCACCAAACGTCCGCACCACTCACCCAAAAACCTGAACCTCCCAGCTAGAGCAGGACTTGCTCACGGCCCCACTTTCTGGGGATAAAAATGGAGCCCAGGCAAGAACTCCTCATCACCAAACACTTAGCAAGCCCCTGTCCTAGAGCTGGTTTCCGGTTCTTCGTCTTCTCAGGTCTGGAAGCGACCAGCACGATCCCCACCACTGAGCCCTGAGTGACGGTTCTTTCAGCCAGCTCATCGAAGGTTACAGAGGGTCAGAAGAGACTCCCGGAAAGATAAAAAGTGCAACAAAAGCAATTCTAAAAGGGGGACAGGAAGGGCTTATCAATGTCCTGGAGATGAACAAGGAAAAGTGCCCCTTACATATCTTAGGTTTGTTCTCTTCAGAGCGTGTTACCCTTGGGCAGATGAGCACAGGCAGATCCACAAACCACCACCATCTCATCGCATATACCCACCGAAGTACAGATTCTCGGCCCCACCAATTACTTTATCAGACTCTCAGGACAAAGGTCCAGGTTCTGCATTTCTAGCAAGATTCCCAGGTGATGTATTTATTTCTTCCTTCAAGTTTGAGGATCACTGTCCTAGGGTCAGTGAACAGTCTCTCAGAGTTGAAGCTCACAAAGGATATGACTTATTTCGCATATGAAGAAAATCAGATGTATGTACATTCAGTAACTGGTTTGAAATTTTTTCCCTAGAAGAGCCCTTTCTTCAAATAAATGTCTAATGTAGAAGTCTATAAGACGTGAAAGTGCAGCCTTTCTGGCTGAATGGGTGGGTGGGGAGAGGAGAGAGGAGGAGCATCTAGCAACTCAGTGGTCCTCACCGTGTGTAGTTTACTGACCAGGGATGAGCCCCCACATATCCTGTTTCCAGGGCCTTCTACTCTATGGAATCCCGCGAGGGCATGAAGGCCAGTGTGGTAGCTAGGTCTCCCCAAAGCGTTGCCACCCCAGGAAGGGAAGAGGCTCTTTCAGTCAGTCCTTGTCTTAGGAAAAGCAGAGCTCTGAGGAGGTATGTGAGTGACTGAAGATAAATGCTATCGTACCTTTAAAAACAGTTAACCATTGATCTGGTCTCCTCCCTCCACCATGGTGGGCAGGGTTGGGAGGCTGTTAGGAAGCTCCACTTCCAGTTAGGGGAAGGGTCCTTTTCTTTACACTTCACTTCCTCTTTACCTTATGCCAGTTCTCTCAGCAGATGTCCTTGCTACATATTTCTCCCCCAAAATAAAACCAGCCTCCACAAGGGCAGGAGGCATGCGTGGTTTTGTTCAGTATTATATTCCCTGTGCCTCAAATAATACCTGACACAAAATGAGAGGGCAGAGAGCAGCAGATTTATGTTAAACTGCTGATTGTCTGAACCAAGCAATCAAAAATTGATTGATTTTGTGGCCATCATCAAAAAAATTTACAAACAATAAATGTTGGAGGGGATGTAGAGAAAAGGGAACCCTCCTGCACTGTTGGTGGGAATGTAAACTGATTCAGCCATTATGAACAGTACAGAGATTCCTTAAAAAAACAGGAATAAATCTACCACATGGCCCAGCATTCCCACTACTGGGCACATACCCTGAGAAAACCACAATTCTAAAAAACACCTGTACCCCAACATTCACAGTAGCACTATTTACAACCGCCAGGACATGGAAGCAACCTAGATGTCAATCAACAGGTGAAAGGACAAAGAAGGTGTGGTACCTACATAAATGGAACACTACTCAGCCACAGAAGGAACGAACTTTAGTCAGCTGTAGTGAGGTGGATGAGCCTCCCATACACTGTCAAGTAAGTCAGAAAGAGAAAACCAAATATTGTATATTAATGCATATATGTGGAATCTAGAAAAATGGCACTGATGAACCTAGTAGAGAACGGACTTGTGGACAAGCAGGGGAAGTGAGGATGGGGCAAATTGAGAAAGCAGCACTGACATACATACGCTATCATGTGTAAAATAGACATGGGAAGCTGCTGTATTACCCAGGGAGCCCTGCCTGGAGCCCTGTGATGACCAGGAGCAGTGGGATGGGAGGGGAGGAGGGAGGCTCAAGAAAGCGGGGAGATGTACATATATATAGGTTAGGTCCTTGCCCTCCTGGATGGAAACCTCTAACTCTTGGAAGGTCCTGCCAGCTAAGAGTGACTGTTTACCTGGGGCCTTGGGCCACACCAGATAGTCAGTGCTGACAATATGATTTACAGTCAGGGCCCCCAGCCACCAGGTACCAGCTCACCTTCTAGAGGCTGGAGACCAAGGTCAACCAGGCAGGCAAACAGCGATGTCGCGTGACAGGCGTCTAAGGAGAACCCGGGACACCCAGGCTCAAGTGAGCCTCCCACCCTTCAGTGCTCCGTGCGTGCGGGCACCCACCACCGCTGCAAACCACAAGCACAGTCACGCCGCTCGACTGGGAGATGCCGCCAGAAGCTCCACACCGAGTCTCTCCTGGCCCTGCCATCTGCAGCTCCTCCCCTGGACAATTCAGTCTGTATCCTTTCACTAGAATAAACGGCAACACCGAGAACCAGCCTCTCTAAGTTCCATGAGTCATTTCGGCAAACCTAAGGGTGGTCCTGGGGACCTCCCAAACTGCAGTGCCCCAGTTTAGGTTGTGACAGGGTTATACTACTCATAACAGCAAAATGTCTCAACCTGAATCCTAGAGACTCACTAAAAAAATTACAATGTAAAACAAAGAAAAAAGATGAATAACATAGTTCTGCTGCTGCTGCTGCTGCTGCTGCTAAGTCATGTCAGTCGTGTCCGACTCTGTGTGACCCCATAGACAGCAGCCCACCAGGCTCCCGTCCCTGGGATTCTCCAGGCAAGAACACTGGAGTCGGTTGCCATTTCCTTCTCCAGTGCATGAAAGTGAAAAGAAAGCAAAGTCACTCAGTCGAGTCCGACTCTTAGCAACCCCATGGACTGCAGCCTGCCAGGCTCCTCCGTCCATGGGTTTCCCAGGCACGAGTACTGGAGTGGGTTGCCAGTGCCTTCTCCGCATAGCTCTAGCAACATCCAATTCCACAAGAATACTTATAAACTCTGCTTAGAACTCATAGATAATCCACATGGGCACAAAGACCTCACAACTGTTCATTAATTTTTGTCCATTCAATTCTGTATATTTTTATCACAACTCTAAATTTGCTCAGGCAGATGCTTTCCATTAAAAAAAAAAAAAACTGAAGAGACTATATTGCCCATTAGTAAAAATGTTTAAGAACAACTAGGTCTGATGTCTATACTTTTTGGTTACAATGATGAGGTTTTTTTCAAGGTTTTGAATCATTTTAATGACTAGTTTGAAGCCATTACATCAGAAAGCAATATGTATACACAAGCCCTCTCCAATCTTTCCAGCACTTACACTGGTAAGCAGATGTTTCAGATGGTCGTTTAGAGAAGGACCAACGACGACACTTAACTGTACCAGAGCATTCAGTCCTCTTTCAAACACTTCATCATCCACATGGACCTGGGGAGGGTTGGGCGGTTCATGGTGCACAGGCAGGGAGGGAAAAGGGAAAAGGATGGATAAGGAGAAAGGGTACGCAGGTGGAGAAAAAGTAACATTCAATATTAGAAAATGACCAATCAAATCCAGGATTTAAAAAATAATCTTTAGTACAGGACATCTAGAAGCAAAAACTAAATTTGGGTTGACTGAGACATTAAATAAAATACATTGTAGCCTACAGAAAGACTGATTTCAGGTTCATTATTTTCTCTAACTACTCAAGATGTCCCTCTTTACCTTTAGTACATCTTCTAAAGGTATCTTCCAGTAAGGAATCACCTGGCCCTGAAAAACAGTGGCCGAATTCTGCACACACATCAAAATCACAGGTAAAGAACAAATTTGCATAATATTTGAAAGAAAAAAAAGATGTAAAATATTCTAAATGTACTGCAGAAAGTCTAAAGGAATAAAGGACATACCAGAGCTGCCTTCAGCACAGGAATCAGTCTAGGAAGCAAAGGCACAGCTTTCTCAGGAGCACCTGTGACCAAAAGTAATTCTCTAAAACCCTCCTTTGACACAAAGGTGTATGGATGTTTAGTCTCTCTCAGACCCTGCCAAAACAAACATACAAACAAACAACAACAAAAAAAACCAGATTTACTACCCATTTTAGTGATGATAATAGAAAAAATGTAATCCTTACTCATGTAAGTGAAAATCACATTTTAGTATTATTTTCCTATTTGTGAAATATAAGTTCAATAATTACAATGTCAATTAAACTAAGAAATTGTGGAACATGGGATATGCTTGAGACAAAAAGGATCTTTAACCAAGAAGGAAAGGAAAAAGAGTAAGAATAAGAAAAAATAAAAGAAACAGGGAAAAGCAAAGGAGAAGCAAGGAAAAATAAATGAAAAAGAAAAGAGAGAAAAACAAGAGGAAGGAGGATGAAAGAGGGGAAAGGTAAATAAAGAGAAGGAAAAAACTCACTATGATACTAAAAACATGTTGCTTATACTCCCAAACACTGCCAGAAATCACAACAAATTAGTCTAAAATCTATGTTACTAAATCCCACTTTATAAATGCAAAATTGTTGGACCCCCACCTTAAAGATGATTTTGCAACTTGTTTAATGAGTCTCTAAAATATTATATCTCCTTCACATTTAAATACTAAGATACTTAGAAGACAAATCTTATACTATGCTTAAAATGCACTGTAAGATTTCAAATGCCATTTTTAACATAAGAAAATCAAACAAAAATATGGGGGAAAAAAAAAACCTGTGCAAATCATTTCTCACCAAAGCCTTTCACCCTAAATGCATTAGGAACAATTAGACGGTACTCTTTTTAATTATTATTTTGAGTCAGGATAAAATAGGCATCTTTTTCGAAAAGATGAAACAAAGAAAGTAATAGCAATACTCCTTCAGTTTGACTAATTATTATCTGGAATTAAGTATAACCAGCTGCAGCGTCATGTCTAAAAATATTAGTTTTCAACCAATTTGTCCTTGTGGGCAAACCATCTGCTTCCAGGGGAATTCCCTGGCAATCCAGTGGTTAGGACTCCATGCTTCCACTGTAAGGGACAAATGTTTGATCCCTGATTAGGAAATTAATCCTGCATGCCTGCATGCGGTGTAGCCAAGAAAAAAAAAAAATCCCCAAAACGAAACTATCTGCTTCTAAATGGTGATGAAACACTTCTTTTCCTACATGCCACCATGCTTTTGAAAACCATGCTGCCAAGCACACTGGTATCACAGAACACAGGTTCTATGGTCTTAGGAGCACCCCTATCCTGTTCATTTTAGAGATGAGGAACCTTAGGTCAAGGTGAAACGGATTCAATAGTAGTGGTTCTGTCACTGCTTTCCCATTAGTAAATGAGGAGAGGGGAAAGAGAAAAGTTTACACAGGACAGAAATAAAAGCAGTGGTGTTTGCAAAAACAGATATTTAAAAGATTGACTCTATGAGATCTAAACTAAACTCAGAGTTCCCTTGAGGATTCCTCACGTCAAAGCACTGCCTCTGTCTTATGATGAGCTAGAGCATGTTTTCAAAGGTATCACTATAGTTTTGATTCATCTAAAAAATTGTGTTCTACCATATGTAAAAAGTTTAAAGCTCAAAAAAGAACTAATGAAATATGAGCATCTTTAGTTTGTAACACAAAGTTTAAAAGAGACTGATTAAAATTTAATTTCAAAATAGGCTATCCATAAAGATACACTACTTCTTACACCAAAATATCTTCTGCAGGCTGAGGCACAAATTAAGAAAGGCTAAGACCTAAGATAACTTGGTAGTCTTCAGAAGTAATTGATGTCTGTGTGCTAAGCCACTTCAGTCATGTCTGACTCTCTGTGACACTATGGACTGTAGACTGCCAGGCTCCTCTGTCCATGGGATTTCCCAGGCAAGAATAATGGAGTGGGATGCCATTTCCTTCTCCAAGGGATCTTCCCAACACAGGGATTGAACCCGCATCTCTTACATCTCTAGCATTTGCAGCCGGGTTCTTTACCACTAGCACCACTTGGGAAGCCCCAATAGTAACTGATATGTCCATCTCAAAGAGTAAATAAACTTGAAAAACTAAAGGAGGAATTAGACATTTTAAGCATTCACTACAATTAAGATATCTCAATCAGTACAACTGTCTACTTTTTCAGCTCTGCTGACATCTGGCCTATCCCACAAGTTTTACAGGAAAAGTAAATGTTTCTTTGAGTGAAGAAAAAAATAATCTGAATTTTTTCAGTGTCATATCTTTTGGATTCCTGACTACTGTATGACTTATCCCAGAGGCACTGCCAATTCAGATTAATACCATCAAGGCTCTAATGTAAGGAGACTTGCTTCTTAACAGCGACAAGAACAAAAATGATCCTGAAGTCTTAAAGAAGACAAGTTAAGGTTAAGTACAACTGGTTAACTCATTTCTCAACTTCTGTCTCTAATTCTATACATTTATAAATAATAACATTCACAAAAGATATCTCTGACTCACTTCAGGCTAATACTCTGCCAACGCTGTTCCTGACACAAATGTTAATATAAAGGAATATGTGAGAAGTTTTTCTGAAATCCTCTACAAAAACCATCTCTATGATATTTTACTTAAAATGCACAAGAAGGCAAAAGCCCTGAAAATTACCCAAAAGAACATTTAGGTAGTTGATATCAGTTCCCTAAGAAACATATCATATTAAATGTGACTTAATATAGGTGACTTAATAAAGGTTCCATAAGGAAAGACCAAACAGTCACTGTTAACTGATTCTAGTATGAGTTTAAATGATGATATCCTTCTGATTTGACTAGTTCAATATGATTCCAAGCACTTTAAATTAAGTATGAATATTTTATCTACTTATCTACAAATCCCTGTGCAGATTAATTTCATGTTTATAAAGCTGATTAAGCAGTTTCTAAGAAACATACACCATTCATAATTAGTTCCTAAGGAAGTGTGGGGTTTTAATACCTGTTCTTTGGCTTTTATTTCAAAAGTGAAGAATGAGATTTACTGATGAGTTACAAAATAACATTTCATGCAATTAGAAAAAATAAACACTCAGGAAAGATACAGTATTCACCTCAGCTAAAGTAATAAGAAGAGGATCGAATGGAAGCTTTTCAGGAGGACATTCCCACTGTAACCTGTGTTTTACTGAACCATGGACCAACCTAAAATATAAAAGTCAGTGAATGTGACAAGAACAAGAGACTTATATACTAAACAGTGATTAATCACAATATACACATTCTTTCCTCAACATAACCATATTAGAATTATTTTATAACACATAGGAACTTCATGACTTTAAAAGATATTACAAAGGCACCTTATAGAGCAATAATTGCATATTTACAATCCTACAAATTCGTACCCTTTCAACAAAATTGTTTGATGACAAAACTACACATCTCCACATTTGTTAAGCCTACAGTTTTGGAGTGCTATTTGCATCTTAATGCAAATGTTACATTTCATATGGTTCAGTCATAACTATAACAAAATAGGTAACCCAAAGACAAACCAATAGCAAACCTATCACAAAATAAGCAAATAACTGTGATAATTAGAAATAATTTTTTTTTCATAAGCAATATTAATTTTCAGGTATGTATCATTTGTGCATGCTAAGTCGCTTCAGTTGTTTCCAACCCTGTGACCCTAGGAACTGTAGCCCGCCAGGTTCCTCCATCCATGGGATCCTCCAGGCAAAAATATTGGACTGCAATGCTCACTGCAGCACTGTTTACAATAGCTAGGACACGGAAGCAACCTAGATGCCCACTGGCAGACAAATGGATAAGAAAGTTGCGGTACATATACACAATGGAGCATTACTCAGCTATTAAAAAAGAATGCATTTGAGTCAGTCCTAATGAGATGGATGAAACTGGAGCCTATTATACAAAGTGAAGTAAATCAGAAAGAAAAACAGCAATATAGTATATTAACATATATATATATGGAATTTAGAAAGACAATAATGATGACACTATATACAAGACAGCAAAAGAGACACAGATGTAAAGAACAGACTTTTGGACTCTGTGGGAGAAGGCAAGGGTGGGATGATTTGAGAGAACAGCACTGAAACATGTATATTACCATATGTGAAATGATGACCAGTCCAAGTTCAAAGCATGAAACAGGGCACTCAAAGCTGGTGCACTGGGACGACCCAGAGGGATGGGGTGGGGAGGGAGGTGGGAGGGGGCTTCAGGATGGGGGGACACATGCACAGCCGTGGCTGATTCATGTCAGTGTATGGCAAAAACTACCACAGTACTGTAAAGTAATTAGCCTCCAATAAAAATAATTAATTAATTAAAAAAAAGAATACTGGAGTAGGTTGCCATGCCCACCTCCAGGGGCCCGGCCCAGAGATTGAACTGGCGTCTCTTACATCTGCACTAGCAAGTGAGTTCTTTACAACTAACAACATGTGGGAAGCCCATATATCATTTAACCTAAACAGAAATAATCTAAAGGAAAGCCAGGTTTTATCCCTATTAAAGAGAGGAAAACTGAGGCCAGGAATATGCAATGGCCCATGCAGGGTGAAAAGGTGGTAGCCCCTTGAATTAAAGTCTCTGCTGTTGCTGCTTTTTTTTTTTTTTTAATATTCTAACAGCCTTTATTGAAGCAGAACTTGAAATAAAAATGGACACTGTTAATACAGTGTAAAATTTGGAAAGTTTTGATGTATGAATACATCCATGGAAACATCACCACACTCGTGACACAGAATTTATTCATTACACTCAACTGTTATTTCACACTCCTTTTGTAATGTTCTCAACTTGGCATTTTCTAAAGAATACTAAAGTGTTATTTTCATAATCCCAAGAAGACTCGGCAGCACTGTTTTTACATTTTTAGCAACAATAAATTCTCAGAGTGGGGAGAAGGTATAAGACCTTTAAAATAGTTTCAGTTCAGAATGTAAATACAAAATAGTAACAATAATAAATTAAAAAGTGCCTCCTGAGCTGACTTTTCACTCCTGGCCTTCCAAATCTGAAAATATCATTAAAAACTACATTTTTTAAAATTTCAAATACCAAAAAGAATGCTATGATTATTCTTTCCACAATGAAAATAAAATGTCCTATCATCTACAACAGGTTAAAACTGGATATACTCAGAAGAAATTAATGTTTCTCAGTAGTGAACTCTTAAAAGGATATCTCTCTATTAGTAACCTGCATTGCTTTTTTAAAAATAGCTTGATGTCCACCCAGGAAGGCTACAAAAATTACATCAAAAGAAAACAAAAACAGCTGTACTACTCATTAAGAAATATAAGTTCAAATAAAATTTGAAATATCTGATTTCTGAAATATAGTTAAAAAAATAACAAAACAATTTCATTTAATTGTCAACTTCCAGTTCAGACAAAAGAGGATTATTTATCTGAAATTTTCCCAAGCCTATAAATGCTTAAACTGTTTTAGAAACTGTTTCAGTCAATTTCTTCAATTATCTGGTGGTTTACTATAGATTTATCAGTAATTCTCTTTTGGAATTAAAATTATTTTTTTCAACAGTGTCCTAGGATCTATATCAATCCAAAAGACAAAGTATGAATAAGTAATTCACCTTTATTTCAACCTCCCTAGTAAATAAAACTTTCAATACATTTAAATTGGAAAGTGTATTGATTTTACTCAATTATGTTGAATAATATGGTCAGTTATAACTTGTATTGATCTTACCTGCAAGGAATACCTCCCTTAGAGTAAATAGCTGCAAAGGCAGAAGGGGCTCGTGGCTGTTCACCAAACTAAAAAAAAAAGACAAGACAAGAATACAATAATTATTACTATCATCTCCACTTAGTGATACCTAATCAATTTCAATCCTGCTGAGGTCAGAGGCAAATAAGACACCCTGACTTTGAAGCCCACCAAGCTTGTATCAAGTGCATCATTCTACTAAGAAAAATGGTTGAGAAAAATGATCAATCCTCTCCACAATTTGTATATTTCCTTTAACCTTTGTTTCAGAGGCTTGGAGGTAGCTGAAACCACACATAAAATAAACACACTATAGATAAATACTTTTAAATCTAAATATTATAAATACAATGAAGATAATTTATCTTTCCGCCCCTCCTCCACTGTGACCTTTCAAAGTGAAGGCTAAATGGAGAAAAGGTGTACGGGGAAAGTAGATGAATTTTTAACCTCCTGCATATCACATATGTCCTACTTGTCCTCCATTCAAATATGTCCAGTCTGGAAGGTCAAAGAACCTAAAATTTCTTGACGCTGCAAATGACAGAAAGAAGCAAAGGAACACAGAAGCTTAAACTATTTTCCATTTTTCTTTTATAAAGTCAGACAATCTCCTCTTGCCTTTGGATAGTTCACTGTATCCTTGCTTAAGTATCTGCTGTATTCCACCTGCCATCTAAGTCTGTGTCTCAGCCACTCTCATAATCCCCTTTAAAGGCTGAAACCATCATCATCTATGTAAGGCTGGACCAGACACCATCTGGTGTTGGAGCACAAGTGTGTTCACTTCGTGGATAAACTGACTTAGAAACTTACAATTACGTACTTTTATGCATATAAACCTTATATTTGTTAAATGTGATTAATCTGCTTTGAGAAAGCAAAAGAAAGCTAGTGCTGTAGTTAAAAATTCTGGTGGAGCTAATTTTCAGGTCATAAAGAAACGGTCAGAGATCTTTATGCAACTTGTAATTCATCCTTACAAGGTTACATTTTACAAGGTTATTCATTGATATTGGGAAGTATAATAATCACAGTAAATTAAAAAAAAAAGAAAGTTGATGTGCAATTTATTTTATACTCTACAGTACTCATCCATGAATGTGATATGACATACCGAAGCTGACTGATTTCTTGCTTATACCTTCTCATTCCCACACTCATATCATTACCTCCATTCTTCATCATGATTACTACATGCCTTCCTTCACAACTAGCTTAAAACTAACAAAAGAAACAGAATACCTGTTGAATGGCTCAACAGTATATAAAAGTCTAATACTTTGGAAAACATGCTAAGTCAGGAATCTCTTTTGTACCTACCGGGTTAATTGTTTTAGGGTTAAGTTTATCGCTTGGTCGAGGATGAAGTTTTCTTGCAGATTCTGGAGAGCTGGTTGATGATGAAGATTTGCTTTGTTGAACTGGAGTCCCATGTTTTACTTGTGCACTTGATGATGTCCTTTGATCACAGTTATCTGAAAAAAACAGAACATCAACAAAAAAAGAAGTGAAAGCTCAGCCTGCATTCACCTGTACAAAGCATGTGTCATTAACAAAATTTACCTCTTCATTTAAAAAGCAACATTCTGTACCTGTCAGTCTGTTTCTCATCTGTACGCCCCTATGGCACTCTGATTTCTGCATTGCTTCTCCTTTACTCCTGCATTACATGAAACTTGATTTCAACACTGTTTCTGGGGAGGAGGATTCATTAACAATGTAAAGACCAAACTGAACAGAGTAGGAAATACAGTAAAAGTCCCACAGAAAAGGTATGATATAGAGCAAAATGCCTAAAAAGCCAGTAAGAAAATATGAAAATGATCAACTTTAATAATACCAGTAACAGTAAATTAAAAACCATCTGTCACTCCAATGTAATTTTTTTAAAATATCTCTAAGTAAAATGTATAAAAATATTCATTTTTCCATTCAAATAGTCCAAATACACTTTTAGAAACTCAATTGTAATCCTCTGGCCATATACAGAAAATAGACTTGATTTCTGGGAAAGTGGTTGGCACGTCCCCTACTCTCTGCACTTTCTCTGCTCTCTGTATTTCCAGAGTTCCCAGTGTTCACATCCGCATATCAAGTCCTACATTTCCAGTGACGTAAGGAACTCTCCTACTAAATGGACCCCTTAAACTTAACATCACCCAAACTGCGGTTTTCACACTGAAGTTATGAACCGCCTGTCAGTTCAAAGTACCACCAGTTTCCTGATCTCTGAGGCTGAAAAATTCAGGATATCTATTGTCTCCTTTTCTTCCATTTCCTACACTCAACCCTACAGATAAGATCAATGTGACATGATGAAGTAGAAGGAGCTCTGGGCTCAGATTTGGGACTGCCTCTCCTCTTTACTAATTACAGGTTTATGAACTTAAGCAGGTTGTTTCATCTTCCTAAGCCTTGATTTCTTGGGCTCTGAACATGGGAGAGATACTAATCCTATCAAAGCTATTACTGAAGGTTAAAGAAGATAATATGTCAAGCTTATCCAGTGAATGATAGTTCACTTCTCCCTCTCCCATAATTCCCTCTTTGCTAACAGGAGGTCTCTAATTCATAGCCCTTGTTTTCCTGCCGAATCAAATTATCTCAAAGAATCTGCCACCACACACCCAGACTTATACACTCAACTGCCCGCTGATATTTCTAGGTCTAGCTTCAACCCCAAGTTCCAAGCAGGCTTTCCTGACCATCACTGTCTCAAATGCACGATTCCACAGCACTTGGATTTCTCCTTGATTACTCCATTCCCCCATTTACATGACACTCCAAATATTCTTTCATTAGAGTACTTCCCACTTTAAGTCTTTAATATAGTCATTTTTCTATACTATGTATAAGATCTTCTCTTAAGGCCACATAGATGTAGTCTTCTACTTCTAAATGACAGCTTTTCAAATATTTGGGGACACAAATCACAACTCTTCTTCAACTTAAAACATTGATGCCTTCTTAAATGAGTAATAACATGAGATTATTTTAATTTACTTGACAAATTAGAAATCTTCACAAGGAGGGCAAAGTTCCATGTAATAACATTCAGCCTCCAAATATTTTAAATACAATGTGACCAGATCAAACTACCCTGCAAAGATAAACTAAATGTAAGATCATTTCTGTAACAGAGTAATTTTAAATTTTGATTTTCTTAATTTGATATGCTGACCTAATTTTCTCAGCCTACTACCAGCAGATGAGTTACTTCCCAATATCACACTTCACATTCATCCCCAAGGCGTTTTCTAAAAATATGGTAATTATTAGCTCATTAAATTTGTTAGATCTATCCTAAGCTAACACAGACTTTAATTATGACCTATTTAAAGTGCAACCTAATAGTGCCCTTCAGTGATTATTCAACAAGTTGGACTGACACAATTTCTATGTTCTTTTATGTCAAACAGCTATTTCTATAAGGTACTAACTGGAAAATGCTACATTAGATTTTGAATAAGTTCAAAAGGCTACTGAAACTCTTCATTTGAAAAACATGTTAGAATATTGAGCTTCCAAAGGTTTTAAGTATACAGGACAGTTTTTATGTGTGATACAATTATGCAGTTTTCAGCAAAAATACCAAAACACACACCCACACAAGGATGCAAACATTTCCCTGTCCACTTCCAAAACACCTATGTTAGAGCTTCTTTCCAAAACAGATTTTCAGTTACTGTTAAAATATCACCCTTTACCTTATAGACAAATGAAGTGTACTCAATTTTTAAAAATAATATCCATCTGAGAGCATACCACCGACAACAAACCCAGAGCATGAGTTGTTTGTAAAAGGAAAAAAAGCTTAATTCATCTTACAATAGCTTTCCATTAAATAACAGGTGAGGGTAGTGTAAAGGGTTAATGGTCGGAAGAAGTGAAAAAGTAACTTTTTTGTGTTATAAATATTACAAAGGATACCCTTCAATCTTTTACAAAACAATATAAAGATTCCAAATAGACACTAGAATCTATTAATCCACTTAACCCCAGCACCTAAACTATGTCACAATATTAAGAGAGCAAACAAACTAAGCAAGCCCTACTGTGGACCCCTCATTTTTCACCTTAAGTTTCCTTAGATGCTGCGGGTCATCTACAAGGGGTTACAGGCATCCGGGTCTGTGCTAGGAAAGAGTACTTTTCTTCCACTGTTTTGGACAGCTCATATGTCTTATTTCTTTTTCCACATACCTATTCTTCCCACACTTGCCTCTGAGACCACTGCACTAAACTACCTGCTAAATTCTCAGAGACAGAGGTCACTTTTTTTCCCTACTCTCTAATCTGGTGTTTGGAAGGTTCCAAAAGTGTAACAGGAGCCCCACAAAAGAAGGTGAGCTCCATCTCTAAAGCTCCTTCAAATTTCAAAGAACAGCCACAGTATTCACCTATCCCAATCCTTTTCAGCGTAAAGAAAATCCAAAGAGCCAGTATTAAGGGTCTTCATATTTGCTTTCCATTTCCCTAGCCTCTTCGCCTCCAACACCACACATTTCCCAATACCTAAGACCAGTCCAGGGCCAGGATGTTGTCAAACTTAGAAAACGAGGACATGGAGAGGAAAAAATGGAGAAAAACAAGGGTTGTGTTTTGCTTTGTGTGTGTGTGTGTGTGTGTTTTTTAAAGAAGGTCAGATAAAAGTGGATAAAGGCGCCAGTTTCAAATAAGGCAACTCTCAACCAAAGCCAGACCAGGAAGGGCGCACTCATGGCGCTCAGCATCTCCAGGCTCCTTAGCAACGTGGTCCCGTGGCCATAGCAACTGATCAGACAGGAAGCCGCCTCTGCCGAGAGAATGAGGATGGCACAGCGGATCCCCGCACTTGTGCAGCTCACCGCTCTAGGGACCCGTTCCTACCGCTCCTCTCTCCCACCGCAATCTGCACACCAGCCAACCAGCACCCGCTGCGCCACCAGCCGCCGGTCCCGTCGCCGGCCGCCGGGGACCGGGAAAAATCAGGTTTCGCAGGGTTCCCGGATCTTGCGGCGCCGCGCAGTGACGTCGGACGCACCCTGCGTCCTCAAACCAATAGCATGGAGGTCGCAGAGTTGTGCCGGGCAGGAATGGTTGCCCTGGCAACGAGGCGCACAGTATTGAAAGGGCAGCTCGCGAACTTCGCGCTCAGTCTCCGGTGACAAAGGGATACCAGGAGCAGAGTATTTCCGGAATGATAGAGTCAAGGAGCAAAGCAGAATACAGGTTCCTTGTACTTCCTGCGCCGCAGCCTTATCCTAGTCTATGTATTTAACTCGTACGTTTCTCCTGCGCGCTTAGCTCGACGGTCTCCGTGTAGTATTGCCCTAAATCCTCTCATAGCTGAGGGCCTTGGACTCTCGCCCCAGGGTGTTGCACGGCTAAGGCCAGAGCCATCTGCCAGCCCAGCTGTGAAATTTCCTTTCCTGTCATATTTTACTAATTCATATGCTGTTGCAGTCAACTGTAGTGCAGGGGTCGTAGGAGATGCGGGTTCAATCCCTGCGCCCCGAAGATCCCCTGGAGTGGGAAATGGCAACCCACTCCAGTATTCTTGCCTGAAGAATCTCATGGATAGAGGAGCCTGATGGCCTCCATAGGGTCGCAAAGAGTTGGACGCGACTGAAGCGACTTAGCACATGATACATGCATACTTTTAATTTGAAAATAAATGTGTTTGTGTACCCCCAGATTATTTCCAGAAAAATGAATACTGCAGGAAAATGCGTGTCCCCTAGCAACTGCAACAAAAGCATTTGGTGTCAGAGTAAAAAAACTCAAACCCTTTCAGCCCTGTCTATTGTGTACCTTTCTCGCGTCCTCTTTTTTTGTCAACCCATGGCCTTAACTTTTTGCTCAGGTAATATCTGACTATACAGTTGACATTGTTTGAACACTGCAGGAAGTGTAATTTTTCCCTACCCTTGATACGCCATGCTTGTTCTCCTAATTGCTGCCCCAGAAGCATTTTCACTAGACTCTGAGTTTCTTCAGGACAAACATTTGCCTTTTTTCATTCTGTTTCTCCATTTCTAGGGCATTACAATGGTGCCTCAGGAAATACTCTTTAAATAAATGCACTGAACGAATGAATTCTATGCATATCTAATTTCTCTATGTTCTGCAAAACTTGCATACAAGTCTACCTTAACTTTTAAAATTCATTATATTGTATTTTCCTATGGTCTCCACCAGACTGAAATTATTTCCATCACTTTCCTATCCACAATGTCTAGCCCAATGCATATTTAAGTAAAATTTTAAGAAAAAAGGAAACGAAAATCCTATTCCTTAGCTATTTTCACCTTATCATCTCTCTTCTCTAGCTTCTTGAAGATTTACTGTATCACCTGACCCTTTCTTCACTCCTAGCATCTTCAGTGGCAGCCTTGGCAGCACCTAGCTCATGATATTTTAGCCTCTTTGCCTGGAGTGTAAGAAAGTTGTGCAAATATAGTACAAAAGTAAATGGATACCTACCAAGTACATACTGTATGTAGAACATACCATTAGATGTTGGAAAATCAATGCAAAATATAAAGGGAAAGTTAATTGATTATGAATTTCTGAATTTTTTAAAATTTCTGAGTTTAGAATAAGTTCATGTAACTCCCTTTTCAATTCAAAGTTGAATTTAATTTCTTTTGCAGGTTTTCTTTCTGTCAGTAGAAGAAATTTAACCTTCTTGGATTAAAGGAGGAACGTATTCCATCACTGTGGAAAGGCAGTGATGCTAGGAGGGGTGGGGCAACTAGCCCTCCATTGTCATCTGTCTGTGCTGCCTTCCGCTGAGATATACTTTCACCTTTCTGGTCCTCAGTCCTTCAGTCGCCATCCTTGTGGATAGCATGTGCACATCTCTCCTTTGGGGTTCTCATTTACAGCTAATTCTTTTCTTCTCCTAAGAACCCAGGAGATACTCTTTTTTTTCCAGCTGAAGTGAGAGGAATCCACCTGTTGGGTTCCACGTTGTGGAGATCATGGAAATCTAGTGAAACTGCCTTTGAGTTTTGCCTAGACACACCATGTGTCCATTTCTTCTGATTTTGCACCCTGCTGGGATCAGAGATAGCCAAATTCTTATTAGTTCTGTGACATTGCCCTGAGACCCGTATGGTGGGAGGGGAAGGCAAGGATGATTGGAGATGATCAGTTGGTTTGTAATTTGTACAAAAAGGAACAGAGTTTCTTTAATTACATCAAGCCAATGATACCTTTGATATTTTCTTTAAAATCTTGGTGACCAAAAACATGTAATTAAGAAATAGTCACAAGTGAAATACGAATCAAAAGACACTGTCTCTTTGCACTCAGATCTGGAACTTGACTTTGAGTTATGGTTTATTCTTCCAAATCTTCCAAAATAATGACTGATCCACTGAACCTGATTTTTGAACTTTCGAAGCAAAAAATTTGACTCTCATCAGTTTCTTTTTATCATGACATGCCCCTTCCTGAGGGAATTAGCATAAAATACTGCAGCTGCAGTTGGCATAAAGTGGCATGGGGTAGCAGAAAATATTATTTTTGCAGAAACATTTTTATTATATTAGTTTATAATCTATTTGGTGATCTTCTATAGGATTTTTTCTGTTTTGAGATGCCAGTCAGAATGATATACCAGTTAAAGAGTTTTTCATTCCACTTAGTTCAATATAGACTATTAAATTGAAGGCTAGAAATAAACAGGAAATGAATGGGTTTCTTATATCTATTAGATATAGTATTAGAAAATAGAAAATCAACCACAATTAAATCAGTTGATTAAATCCTAGGTAATTAATTCTTGTTTTTATGATCTTGAGTTAATGAGTCTTCTTTTACAATCATTTGCAACAAACCTAAAAGAAATGGAACGCCTTGACTTTGACTCTGACAGGTGTCCATGATGATGATGTCAGGTTATACTGGAAACCGGTCCAAATGACTTTATTCCATCAAACATCAATGGTTAAGACTCCCTGGTACAGTCTGTTGCTGGAGAAATTGTTTTCGACATTTGATTTACTTTCTAATTCATGGATTGTGGAGATACCTTTACATTCTTGCTACTCATGGAGTGGTTCTTAGATCATTATCATCATTTAGGAGCCCCACCTAGGTCTACTGAGTCAGACTCTGCGTTTAACCAAGATAGATCCCCTGGAGAAGGAAATGGCGAGCCACTCCTGTATTCTTGCCTGGAAAATTCCATGGACAGAGCAGCCTGGAAGGAGCAAAGAGTCGGACACATCTGAGTGACTGAACACACACACACACGTGCACACACACACACACACACACACACACAAGATTCTCCAAATGAGGAAATGTACTTTACAGCTTAAGATGTGTGAGGGAGAAAGAGAAACTGCCTCTTGATGATAAGGAGTGTTTCCTATTACAGTATCATAAGACCCATAATACTGAGGTGAAGGAGAATGGAATCCTCCACTGAGGTACATGCATAATATTTCATAGTGATTCAGTGAAATATTACACTGAGAGAAAGAACATTTTGTCAACATTCAGGTTTTTGTGAGTTGAATTTTATCTCCCAAAATGTATATATTAAAATACTAACCCCCAGTACCTCAGAGTGTGACCTTATTTAGAAATAGGGTTGTTGAAGATGTAGTTATTTAAGATGAGGTCATACTGGAGTAAGATGGGCCCCTAGTCCAAGATGTCCTTATAAATGTCCTTATAAAATGAAGAAATTCAGACATAGATGGACACACAGGGAGAGTACCATGAGAAGCGGAAGGCAAAGATGAGTGATTCAGAAGAAGCCAAGAAACATGAAAGGTTTCCAGACAACTGCTACAAGCTTGGAGAGAGGCTTGGGAACAGATTCTCCTTCTGAAGTCTCAGAAAGAACCAATGTTGCTGACACCTCAATTCCAGACTTCTAGCCTCCAGAGCCATGAGACAGTACATTTCCATTGCTTTGAGCCACCATGTTTGTTATGGCAGTCCTGCCAAATTAATACAAGAGCACAGAAAAACATTCAGAGCCCTCTAATTAATCCTATAATGTGTATTATGATTGTCTTCTGTTGAAGAGATATGTCAAACCTAGAAACAAAATACTTCTTTTGGACAAAACAGATCAACTTGTTGACATGTATAAAACAAATGTTGACGTGTGTATGCCAGTCTTTGAACATGTGACCTTAAATTGGCTTTTATGAAGACTGAGCATGACACAATTGCTGAAATATATTTATACTGACATTTTAGAATTACATGTGTATATAATAATTAATCCAGAAGGAACTGAGACTCTCCTTTTGTTTTGTTAATTTTCTATACTCTTGTATTAACCTAATTAAAAATCTGAAGATGCTAACCTTTTTCTAGTATCTTCCTTCCTAACATGGGAAAGGAAATACTTGGTGTTGCCCAGAGCTGTAAACAGATGCCCCCCAAATAGTTTGGGTTAGGTATAAAAGACATACTAATAGTTATATTCTGGTTATGGGATCTGAATTCAGCAAAGGAAATTTTTAAAAGAATTATCAAAAGAGGAAAGGTGCAAATAAACTTTAAGAATGTAAACATAAAATATGATTGGAGGCTTAGATCATTATGATGACATTTAAAATCATATATAATTATGATAGCAGCATATAATAATTAAGAACTTTGCATTTTTCAAAAGTAAGCCTTTTTTGAAATAGATTTCAGATTATAGGGGAAAAGCACAAAAAACAACAGGCTCTTGAGTGAAAATATTATGTGATAGAAAAATCTCATTATCCAGACAAAACAGAAGGCACAGAATAAATTTTGCTCTTTCTTCCCAAAAGCAGACTGTATGTTCAAAGTGCACATTTAACTACCCAATAAATAATTGTTGGATAAGCTAACTAATAGTTTCATTGGGAAAGAAAATAAAAAAACATTGCTCACTTAACTGTAGGGTCCTTTGTTGAATCCAGTTGTACTCTGAGGGGCCAGAAAGGGCTCTAACTATTTGGTTGGCTGAAACATGGACCAACGTGGCCT